CATAATGTAAGCAGAGAAAAGAGACATTGCATAGAAGAGGGAAGAGTGTGATAATATCATCCCTGTATCCTGTCATAATGTAAGCAGAGAAAAGAGACATAGCATAGAAGAGGGAAGAGGTGTTTAATATCATCCCTGTATCCTGTCATAATGTAAGCAGAGAAAAAGAGACATAGCATAGAAGAGGGGAAGAGGTGCTTAATATCATCCCTGTATCCTGTCATTATGTAAGCAGAGAAAAAGAGACATAGCATAGAAGAGGGAAGAGGTGTGTTTAATATCATCCCTGTATCCTGTCATAATGTAAGCAGAGAAAAAGAGACATAGCATAGAAGAGGGAAGAGTGTGCTTAATATCATCCTGTATCCTGTCATAATGTAAGCAGAGAAAAAGAGATAGCATAGAAGAGGGAAGAGCATGTGTGCTAATATCATCCCTGTATCCTGTCATAATGTAAAGAGAGAAAAAGACATTGCATAGAAGAGGGGAAGAGTGTGCTTAATATCATCCCTGTATCCTGTCATAATGTAAGCAGAGAAAAAAGACATAGCATAGAAGAGGAAGAGTGTGCATTAATATCATCCCTGTATCCTGTCATAATGTAAGCAGAGAAAAGAGACATAGCATAGAAGAGGGAAGAGGAAGCTTAATATCATCCCCTGTATCCTGTCATAATGTAAGCAGAAAAAGAGACATAGCATAGAAGAGGGGAAGGTGCTTAATATCATCCCTGTATCCTGTCATAATGTAAGCAGAAAAAAGAGACATATAGAGAAAAAGAGACAGGAGGGAAGTGTGCTTAATATCATCCCTGTATCCTGTCATAATGTAAGCAGAGAAAAGAGACATAGCATAGAAGAGGGAAGAGGTGTAATATCATCCCCTGTATCCTGTCATAATGTAAGCAGAGAAAAGAGACATTACATAGAAGAGGGAAGAGTGTCATTATATCATCCCTGTATCCTGTCATAATGTAAGCAGAAAAAGAGACATTGCATAGAAGAGGGAAGAGTGTGCTTAATATCATCCCCATCCTGTCATAATGTAAGCAGAGAAAAATAGACGTAGATAGAAGGGAAGAGTGTGCTATCATCCCCTGTATCCTCTCATTATGTACAGAAAAGAGACAGAGAAAAAGAGAATCATCCCTGTATCCTGTCAGAAGAGAGAAAAAGAGACATAGCATATAAGAGGGAAGAGTGTTTAATATCATCCCTGTATCCTGTCATAATGCAAGCAGAGAAAAAGAGACATTACATAGAAGGGGAAGAGAGTGCTTAATATCATCCCTGTATCCTGTCATAATGTAGCAGAAAAAAAGACATTGCATAGAAGAGGGAAGAGGTGCTTAATATCATCCCTGTATCCTGTCATAATGTAAGCAGAGAAAAAGAGACATTGCATAGAAGAGGGGTAGAGGTGCTTAATATCATCCCTGTATCCTGTCATAATGTAAGTTAGAGAAAAGAGACAGAGCATAGAAGGAGAAGAAAAAGCTTAATATCATCCCATGTATCCTGTCATAATGTGTAAACAGAGAAAAGAGACAGAGATAGAAGAGGGAAGAGGTGCTTATTATCATCCCCTGTATCCTGTCATAATGTAAAACAGAGAAAAAAGAGACATTGCATAGAAGAGGGGTCCAGGGGATTGTATCATCCCCATATCCTGTCATAATGTAAACAGAGAAAAAAGAGACATAGCATAGAAGAGGGAAGAGGTGCTTAATATCATCCCTGTATCCTGTCATAATGTAAGCAGAGAAAAGAGACATAGCCCCTCGTACAAGAAGGGGGAAGAGTGTGCTTAATATCATCCCCTGTATCCTGTCATAATGTAAGCAGAGACATAAAAGAGAAGAGTGCTTAATATCATCCCCTGTATCCCGCATAATGTAAGAGGGGAAGAGGAAGATTAATATCATCCCTGTATCCTGTCATAATGTAAGCAGAGAAAAAGAGACATAGCATAGAGGAGGGGAAGAGTGTGCTTAATATCATCCCTGTATCCTGTCATAATGTAAGCAGAGAAAAGAGAGCATAGAAGAAGAGGGAAGAGTGTGCTTAATATCATCCCTGTATCCTGTCATAATGTAAGCAGAGAAAAAGAGACAGAGCAGAAGAGGGGAAGAGTGTGTAATATCATCCCTGTATCCTGTCATAATGTAAGCAGAGAAAAAGACATTGCATAGAAGAGGGGAAGAGGTGCTTAATATCATCCCTGTATCCTGTCATAATGTAAGCAGAGAAAAAAAGAGACATAGCATAGAAGAGGGAAGAGGACTATCATCCCTGTATCCTGTCATAATGTAAGCAGAGAAAGAGACATAGCAAGAAGAGGGAAGAGTGTGCCAATGATCATCCCCTGTATCCTGTCATAATGTAAGCAGAGAAAAGTGACATAGAATAGAAGAGGGAAGAGTGTGCTAATATCATCCCTGTATCCTGTCATTGTAAGCAGAGAAAAAAGAGACATAGCATAGAAGAGGGAAGAGCTTAATATCATCCCTGTATCCTGTCATAATGTAAGCAGAGAAAAGAGACATAGCATAGAAGAGGGGAAGAGTGCTTAATATCATCCCTGTATCCTGTCATAATGTAAACAGAGAAAAAGAGACATTGCATAGAAGAGGGAAGAAGAATGTGCTTAATATCATCCCTGTATCCTGTCATAATGTAAGCAGAGAAAAAGAGACAGCATAGATGAGGGAAGAGTGTACATTATCATCCATGTATCCTGTCATAATGTAAACAGAGAAAAGAGACATAGCATAGAAGAGGGAAGAGTGTGCTTAATATCCCCTGTATCCTGTCATTATGTAAGCAGAGAAAAGAGACATAGCATAGAAGAGGGGAAGAGGTGCTTAATATCATCCCTGTATCCTGTCATTATGTAAACAGAGAAAAGAGACATAGCATAGAAGAGGGGAAGAGTGTGCTTAATATCATCCCTGTATCCTGTCATAATGTAAGCAGAGAAAAGAGACATAGCATAGAAGAGGGAAGAGTGTGCTTATATCATCCCTGTATCCTGTCATAATGTAAGCAGAGAAAAGAGACATAACATAGAAGAGGGAAGAGTGTGCTTAATATCATCCCTGTATCCCTGTCATTATGTAAGCAGAGAAAAAGAGACATAGCATAGAAGAGGGGTGGAGTGTGCTTAATATCATCCCCGTATCCTGTCATAATGTAAGCAGAGAAAAAGAAACATAGCATAGAAGAGGGAAGAGTGTTTTAATATCATCCCTGCATCCTGTCATAATGTAAACAGAAAAAAAAGAGACATAGCATAGAAGAGGGAAGAGTGTGTTTAATATCATCCCTGTATCCTGTCATAATGTAAGCAGAGAAAAGAGACATTGCATAGAAGAGGGGAAGAGGTGCTTATATCATCCCTGTATCCTGTCATAATGTAAGCAGAAAAAAGAGACATTGCATAGAAGAGGGGAAGAGTGTGCTTAATATCATCCCTGTATCCTGTCATAATGTAAGCAGAGAAAAAGAGACATAGCATAGAAGAGGGAAGAGTGTGCTTAATATCATCCCTGTATCCTGTCATAATGTAAGCAGAGAAAAAAAGAGACATAGCATAGAAGAGGGAAGAATGTTAATATCATCCCTGTATCCTGTCATAATGTAAAAAGCAGAGAAAAGAGGGAACAATATCATCCCCATCCTGCATAGAAGCAGAGAAAAAGAGACATAGCAGAAGAGGGGAAGAGTGTGCTTAATATCATCCCTGTATCCTGTCATAATGTAAGCAGAGAAAAGAGACATAGCATAGAAGAGGGAAGAGTGTGCTTAATATCATCCCTGTATCCTGTCATAATGTAAGCAGAGAAAAAGAGACATATCATAGAAGAGGGAAGAGTGTGTTTAATATCATCCTGTATCCTGTCATAATGTAAGCAGAGAAAAAGAGACATAGCATAGAAGAGGGAAGAGTGTGCTTAATATCATCCCTGTATCCTGTCATAATGTAAGCAGAGAAAAAGAGACATAGCATAGAAGAGGGAAGAGTGTGCTTAATATCATCCCTGTATCCTGTCATATGTAAGCAGAGAAAAAGAGACATTGCATAGAAGAGGGAAGAGTGTGCTTAATATCATCCCTGTATCCTGTCATAATGTAAGCAGAGAAAAGAGACATTGCATAGAAGGGGAAGAGTGTTAATATCATCCCATCCTGTCATAATGTAAGCAGAGAAAAGAGACATAGTATAGAAGAGGGAAGAGTGTGCTGCTTAATATCATCCCTGTATCCTGTCATAATGTAAGCAGAGAAAAAGAGACATTGCATAGAAGAGGGAAGAGGTGCTTAATATCATCCCCCGTATCCTGTCATAATGTAAAGCAGAGAAAAGAGACATAGCATAGAAGAGGGAAGAGTGTGCTTAATATCATCCCTGTATCCTGTCATAATGTAAGCAGAGAAAAGAGACATAGCATAGAAGAGGGGAAGAAGTGTGCAATATCATCCCTGTATCCTGTCATAATGTAAGCAGAAAAAAGTGATTATCATATCCTAGAAGAGGGGGAAGAGTGTGCTTAATATCATCCCTGTATCCTGTCATAATGTAAGCAGAGAAAAGAGACATTGCATAGAAGAGGGGAAGAGTGTGCTTAATATCATCCCTGTATCCTGTCATAATGTAAGCAGAGAAAAGAGACATAGCATAGAAGAGGGAAGAGTGTGCTTAATATCATCCCCTGTATCCTGTCATAATGTAAGCAGAGAAAAGAGACATAGCATAGAAGAGGGAAGAGTGAGCTTATTATCATCCCTGTATCCTGTCATAATGTAAGCAGAGAAAAAAGACATAGCATAGAAGAGGGAAGAGTGTGCTTAATATCATCCCTGTATCCTGTCATAATGTAAGCAGAGAAAAAAAAGACACAGCATAGAAGAGGAAGAGGTGGATTAATATCATCCCTGTATCCTGTCATAATGTAAGCAGAGAAAAGAGACATAGCATAGAAGAGGAAGAGTGTGCTAATATCATCCCTGTATCCTGTCATAATGTAAGCAGAGAAAAAGAGACATAAATGAAGAGGGAAGAGGTTGCTTAATATCATCCCTGTATCCTGTCATAATGTAAGACAGAGAAAGAGACATAGGAAGGGGGAAGAGGTGCTTAATATCATCCCTGTATCCTGTCATAATGTAAGCAGAGAAAAAGAGACATAGCATAGAAAGAGGGAAGAGTGTGCTTAATATCATCCCTGTATCCTGTCATAATGTAAGCAGAAAAAAGAGACATAGCATAGAAGAGGGAAGAGGTGTTAATATCCCTGTATCCTGTCATAATAAAGCAGAGAAAAAGAGACATAGCATAGAAGAGGGAAGAGTGTGCTTAATATCATCCCTGTATCCTGTCATTATGTAAGCAGAGAAAAAAGACATTGCATAGAAGAGGGAAGAGTGTGATTAATATCATCCCTGTATCCTGTCATAATGTAAGCAGAGAAAAAGAGATATTGCATAGAAGAGGGGAAGAGTGTGCTTAATATCATCCCTGTATCCTGTCATTATGTAAACAGAGAAAAAGAGACATAGCATAGAAGAGGGAAGAGTGTGCTTAATATCATCCCTGTATCCTGTCATAATGTAAGCAGAGAAAAAGACATAGCATAGAAGAGGGAAAGAGTGTGCTTAATATCATCCCTGTATCCTGTCATAATGTAAAGCAGAAAAAAGAGACATAGCATAGAAGAGGGAAGAGGTGTGATTAATATCATCCCTGTATCCTGTCATAATGTAAGCAGAGAAAAGAGACATTGCATAGAAGAGGGAAGAGTGTGCTTAATATCATCCCTGTATCCCGTCATAATGTAAGCAGAGAAAAAGAGACATTGCATAGAAGAGGGAAGAGGTGCTTAATATCATCCCTGTATCCTGTCATAATGTAAGCAGAGAAAAAGAGACATAGCATAGAAGAGGGGAAGTGTTGCTTAATATCATCCCTGTATCCTGTCATAATGTAAGCAGAGAAAAAGAGACATTGCATAGAAGAGGGGAAGAGTGTGCAAATATCATCCCTGTATCCTGTCATAATGTAAGCAGAGAAAAGAGACATAGTATAGAAGAGGGAAGAGTGTGGAATATCATCCCCTGTATCCTGTCATAATGTAAGCAGAGAAAAAGAGACATTGCATAGAAGAGGGAAGAGTGTGTTATTATCATCCCTGTATCCTGTCATAATGTAAGCAGAGAAAAGAGACATTGCATAGAAGAGGGGAAGAGTGTGCTTAATATCATCCCTGTATCCTGTCATAATGTAAGCAGAGAAAAAGAGACATTGCATAGAAGAGGGAAGAGTGTGATTAATATCATCCCTGTATCCTGTCATAATGTAAACAGAGAAAAGAGACATAGAATAGAAGAGGGAAGAGAGAAAAGAGACATTAAAGAGGGAAGAGGTATCATCCCTGTATCCTGTCATAATGTAAGCAGAGAAAAAGAGACATAGCATAGAAGAGGGGAGAGTGTGTTTAATATCATCCCTGTATCCTGTCATAATGTAAGCAGAGAGAAAAGAGACATAGCATAGAAGAGGGAAGAGTGTGCTTAATATCATCCCTGTATCCTGTCATAATGTAAGCAGAGAAAAGAGACATAGCATAGAAGAGGGGAAGAGTGTGCTTAATATCATCCCTGTATCCTGTCATAATGTAAGCAGAGAAAAAGAGACATAGCATAGAAGAGGGAAGAGGTGCTATTATCATCCCTGTATCCTGTCATAATGTAAGCAGAGAAAAGAGACATAGCATAGAAGAGGGAAGAGGTGCTTAATATCATCCCTGTATCCTGTCATAATGTAAGCAGAGAAAAGAGACATTGCATAGAAGAGGGGAAGAGGTGCTTAATATCATCCCTGTATCCTGTCATAATGTAAGCAGAGAAAAGAGACATAGCATAGAAGAGGGAAGAGTGCTTATCATCATCCCCTGTATCCTGTCATAATGTAAGCAGAGAAAAAGAGACATAGCATAGAAGAGGGAAGAGGTGCTTAATATCATCCCTGATCCTGTCAGAAGGCAGAGAAAAAGAGACATAGCATAGAAGAGGGAAGAGTGTGCTTAATATCATCCATGTATCCTGTCATAATGTAAGCAGAGAAAAGAGAAAAGAGACATAGTATAGAAGAGAAGAGACATTGGAAGAGGAAGAGGTGCTAATATCATCCCTGTATCCTGTCATAATGTAAGCAGAGAAAAGAGACATAGCATAGAAGAGGGAAGAGGTGCTTAATATCATCCCTGTATCCTGTCATAATGTAAGCAGAGAAAAGAGACATAGCATAGAAGAGGGAAGAGTGTGATTAATATCATCCCTGTATCCTGTCATAATGTAAGCAGAGAAAAAGAGACATAGCATAGAAGAGGGAAGAGTGTGCTTAATATCATCCCCTGTATCCTGTCATAATGTAAGCAGAGAAAAAGACATAGCATAGAAGAGGGAAGAGATCCCTTATCCTGTCATAATAAGCAGAGAAAAAGAGACACAGGAAGAGGGGAAGTGTGCTAATATCATCCCTGTATCCTGTCATAATGTAAGCAGAGAAAAAGAGACATAGCATAGAAGAGGGAAGAGTGCTTAATCATCCCTGTATCCTGTCATAATGTAAGCAGAGAAAAGAGACATAGCATAGAAGAGGGAAGAGTGTGTGATTAATATCATCCCTGTATCCTGTCATAATGTAAGCAGAGAAAAGAGACATTGCATAGAAGAGGGAAGAGTGTGAATATCATCCCTGTATCCTGTCAAATGTAAGCAGAGAAAAAGAGACATAGCATAGAAGAGGGAAGAGTGTGCTTACATCATCCCTGTATCCTGTCATAATGTAAGCAGAGAAAAGAGACATAGCATAGAAGAGGGAAGAGTGTGTTTAATATCATCCCCTGTATCCTGTCATAATGTAAAGCAGAGAAAAGAGACATAGCATAGAAGAGGGAAGAGTGTGCTTAATATCATCCCTGTATCCTGTCATAATGTAAGCAGAGAAAAGAGACATAGCATAGAAGAGGGAAGAGTGTGCTTATCATCATCCCTGTATCCTGTCAAAGCAGAGAAAAAGAGACATAGCATAGAAGAGGGAAGAGGTGCTTAATATCATCCCTGTATCCTGTCATAATGTAAGCAGAGAAAAGAGACATAGCATAGAAGAGGGGAAGAGGTGCTTAATATCATCCCTGTATCCTGTCATAATGTAAGCAGAGAAAAAGAGACATAGCATAGAAGAGGGGGAGAGTGTGCTTAATATCATCCCTGTATCCTGTCATAATGTAAGCAGAGAAAAGAGACATAGCATAGAAGAGGGAAGAGGAGTGCGTATCATCCCTGTATCCTGTCATAATGTAAGCAGAGAAAAGAGACATTGCATAGAAGAGGGGAAGAGTGTTAATATCATCCCTGTATCCTGTCATAATGTAAGCAGAGAAAAAGAGACATAGCATAGAAGAGGGGAAGAGTGTGCTTAATATCATCCCTGTATCCTGTCAATAATGTAAGCAGAGAAAAGAGACATAAAGCATAGAAGAGGAAGAGTGTGCTTAATATCATCCCTGTATCCTGTCATAATGTAAAGAGAGAAAAAAAGAGACATAGTATAGAAGGGAAGAGAGTGCTTAATATCATCCCTGTATCCTGTCATAATGTAAGCAGAGAAAAAAGACATAGATAGAAGAGGGGAAGAGTGCTTAATATCATCCCTGTATCCTGTCATTATGTAAGAGAGAAAAAGACATAGCATAGAAGAGGGAAGAGGTGCTTAATATCCCCTGTATCCTGTCATAATGTAAGCAGAGAAAAGAGACATAGCATAGAAGAGGGAAGAATGTGCTTAATATCATCCCTGTATCCTGTCATAATGTAAGCAGAGAAAAGAGACATTGCATAGAAGAGGGGAAGAGTGTGTTTAATATCATCCCTGTATCCTGTCATAATGTAAGCAGAGAAAAGAGACATAGCATAGAAGAGGGAAGAGTGTGCTTAATATCATCCCTGTATCCTGTCATAATGTAAGCAGAGAAAAAGAGACATAGCATAGAAGAGGGGAAGAGTGTACAATATCATCCCTGTATCCTGTCATAATGTAAACAGAGAAAAGAGACATTGCATAGAAGAGGGAAGAGTGTGATTAATATCATCCCTGTATCCTGTCATAATGTAAGCAGAGAAAAAGACATAGCATAGAAGAGGGGAAGAGGTGCTTAATATCATCCCTGTATCCTGTCATAATGTAAGCAGAGAAAAAGACATAGCATAGAAGAGGGAAGAGTGTGCTTAATATCATCCCCTGTATCCTGTCATAATGTAAAGCAGAGAAAAGAGACATAGCATAAGAAGAGGGAAGAATGTGCTTAATATCATCCCTGTATCCTGTCATAATGTAAGCAGAGAAAAGAGACATAGCATAGAAGAGGGAAGAGTGTGCATATCATCCCCTGTATCCTGTCATAATGTAAGCAGAGAAAAAGAGACATGTGCATAGAAGAGGGAAGAGTGTGATTAATATCATCCCTGTATCCTGTCATAATGTAAGAGAGAAAAAGAGACATAGCATAGAAGAGGGAAGAGTGTGCTTAATATCATCCCTGTATCCTGTCATAATGTAAGCAGAGAAAGAGACATAGCATAGAAGAGGGAAGAGTGTGCTTAATATCATCCCTGTATCCTGTCATAATGTAAGCAGAGAAAAGAGACATAGCATAGAAGAGGGGAAGAGTGTGATTAATATCATCCCTGTATCCTGTCATAATGTAAGCAGAGAAAAGAGACATTGCATAGAAGAGGGAAGAGTGTGTATCATCCCTGTATCCTGTCATAATGTACAGAGAAAAGAGACATAGGAGAAGAGGGAAGAGTGTGCTTAATATCATCCCTGTATCCTGTCATAATGTAAACAGAGAAAAAGACATAGAATAGAAGAGGGGAAGAGTGTGTCATAATATCATCCCTGTATCCTGTCATAATGTAAGCAGAGAAAAAGAGACATAGCATAGAAGAGGAAGAGTGTGCTTAATATCATCCCCTGTATCCTGTCATAATGTAAGCAGAGAAAAGAGACATAGCATAGAAGAGGGAAGAGTGTGATTAATATCATCCCTGTATCCTGTCATAATGTAAGCAGAGAAAAAGAGACATAGCATAGAAGAGGGGAAGAGTGTGATTATCATCCCTGTATCCTGTCATAATGTAAGCAGAGAAAAGAGACATTGCATAGAAGAGGGAAGAGTGTGGATTATCATCCCTGTATCCTGTCATAATGTAAAGCAGAGAAAAAGAGACATAGCATAGAAGAGGGTAGGTGTGATTAATATCATCCCTGTATCCTGTCATAATGTAAGCAGAGAAAAGAGACATAGCATAGAAGAGGGAAGAGTGTGCTTAATATCATCCCTGTATCCTGTCATAATGTAAACAGAGAAAAAGAGACATAGCATAGAAGAGGGAAGAGGTGTTTAATATCATCCCCCTGTATCCTGTCATAATGTAAGCAGAGAAAAAGACATAGCATAGAAGAGGGAAGAGTGTGCTTAATATCATCCCTGTATCCTGTCATAATGTAAGCAGAGAAAAGAGACATAGCATAGAAGAGGGGAAGAGTGTGATTAATATCATCCCTGTATCCTGTCATAATGTAAGCAGAGAAAAGAGACATAGCATAGAAGAGGGAAGAGTGTGCTTAATATCATCCCTGTATCCTGTCATAATGTAAGCAGAGAAAAAGACATAGCATAGAAGAGGGAAAGAGTGCTTAATATCATCCCTGTATCCTGTCATAATGTAAGCAGAGAAAAAGAGACATTGCATAGAAGAGGGAAGAGTGTGATTAATATCATCCCTGTATCCTGTCATAATGTAAGCAGAGAAAAAGAGACACAGCATAGAAGAGGGGAAGAGGTGCTTAATATCATCCCTGTATCCTGTCATAATGTAAACAGAGAAAAGAGATTGAAAAGAGGGAGAGTGCTTAATATCATCCCTGTATCCTGTCATTATGTAAACAGAGAGACATTTGCATAGAAGAGGGGAAGAGTGTGACATATCATCCCTGTATCCTGTCATAATGTAAGCAGAGAAAAGAGACATAGCATAGAAGAGGGAAGAGTGTGAGCTTAATATCATCCCTGTATCCTGTCATAATGTAAGCAGAGAAAAAAGAGACATAGCATAGAAGAGGGGAAGAGTGTGTTAATATCATCCCCTGTATCCTCCATAATGTAATTAGAGAAAAGAGACAGAAAAAAGAGACATATCATCCCTGCATCCTGTAAAGCAGGAAAAAGTAGAAGAGGGAAGAGGTCACATCCCTGTATCCTGTCATAATGTAATCAGAAAAAGAGACATTTGCATAGAAGAGGGTAAGAGGTGCTTAATATCATCCCTGTATCCTGTCATAATGTAAGCAGAAAAAGAGACATAGCATAGAAGAGGGAAGAGTGTGCTTAATATCATCCCCTGTATCCTGCTGTCATAATGTAAGCAGAGAAAAAGACATAGCATAGAAGAGGGGAAGAGGTGTTAATATCATCCCTGTATCCTGTCATTAATGTAAGCAGAGAAAAAGAGACATAGCATAGAAGAGGGGAAGAGTGTGATAATATCATCCCTGTATCCTGTCATAATGTAAGCAGAGAAAAGAGCAGAGAAAAAGAGACAAAAGCATAGAAGAGGGAAGAGTGTGCTTAATATCATCCCTGTATCCTGTCATAATGTAAGCAGAGAAAAAGAGACATAGCATAGAAGAGGGAAGAGTTGCTTAATATCATCCCTGTATCCTGTCATAATGTAAGCAGAGAAAAGAGACACAGCATAGAAGAGGGAAGAGTGTGCTTAATATCATCCCTGTATCCTGTCATAATGTAAGCAGAGAAAAGAGAGACATAGCATAGAAGAGGGGAAGAGTGCTTAATATCATCCCTGTATCCTGTCATAATGTAAGCAGAAAAAGAGACATAGCATAGAAGAGGGAAGAGTGTGCTTAATATCATCCCTGTATCCTGTCATAATGTAAGAGAAAAAAGAGACATAGCATAGAAGAGGGAAGAGTGTGTTTAATATCATCCCTGTATCCTGTCATAATGTAAGCAGAAGAAAGAAAAAGATTACATAGAAGAGGGAAAAAGAGTGAAGCTTAAGAGTATCATCCCTGTATCCTGTCATAATGTAAGCAGAGAAAAGAGACATAGCATAGAAGAGGGAAGAGTGTGCTTTATCATCCCTGTATCCTGTCATTATGTAAGCAGAGAAAAAGAGACATAGCATAGAAGAGGGAAGAGTGTGCTTAATATCATCCCTGTATCCTGTCATAATGTAAGCAGAGAAAAAGAGACATATAGAAGAGGGGAAGAGTGTGCTTAATATCATCCCTGTATCCTGTCATAATGTAAGCAGAGAAAAAGAGACATAGCATAGAAGAGGGAAGAGGTGCTTAATATCATCCCTGTATCCTGTCATTATGTAAGCAGAGAAAAAGAGACATTATAGAAGAGAAAAAGGAAGAGTGTGCTTAATATCATCCCCTGTATCCTGTCATAATGTAAGCAGAGAAAAAAAGAGACATAGCATAGAAGAGGGAAGAGTGTTAATATCATCCCTGTATCCTGTCATAATGTAAGCAGAGAAAAAGAGACATAGCATAGAAGAGGGAAGAGTGTGCTTAATATCATCCCTGTATCCTGTCATAATGTAAGCAGAGAAAAGAGACATAGCATAGAAGAGGGAAGAGTGTGATTAATATCATCCCCTGTATCCTGTCATAATGTAAGCAGAGAAAAAGAGACATTGTGCATAGAAGAGGGAAGAGGTGTTTAATATCATCCCTGTATCCTGTCATAATGTAAGCAGAGAAAAAGAGACATAGCATAGAAGAGGGAGAGAGTTGCTTAATATCATCCCTGTATCCTGTCATAATGTAAGCAGAGAAAAAGAGACATAGCATAGAAGAGGGAAGAGGTGCTTAATATCATCCCTGTATCCTGTCATAATGTAAGCAGAGAAAAAAAATAGAAGAGGGAAGAGAGTCATAGGGAAAAGAGACATATATAAAAGAGGGAAGAGGTGATTAATATCATCCCTGTATCCTGTCATAAATGTAAGCAGAGAAAAGAGACATTACACAGAAGAGGGAAGAGTGTGATAATATCATCCCTGTATCCTGTCAAATGTAAGCAGAGAAAAAGAGTGTAGAAGAGGGGGAAGAGTGTTTAATATCATCCCTGTATCCTGTCATAATGTAAGCAGAGAAAAGAGACATAGCATAGAAGGGGGAAGAGTGTGCTTAATATCATCCCTGTATCCTGTCATAATGTAAGCAGAGAAAAGAGACATAGCATAGAAGAGGGAAGAGTGTGCTTAATATCATCCCCTGTATCCTGTCATAATGTAAGCAGAGAAAAAGAGACATTGCATAGAAGAGGGAAGAGTGTGCTTAATATCATCCCTGTATCCTGTCATAATGTAAGCAGAGAAAAATAGACAGTATAGAAGAAAATTAGATATCCATGTATCCTGCATAGAAGAGGAAGAGAAAGTGGGAAGAGTTAATATCATCCCTGTATCCTGTCATAATGTAAGCAGAGAAAAAGAGACATAGCATAGAAGAGGGAAGAGTGTGCTTAATATCATCCCTGTATCCTGTCATAATGTAAGCAGAGAAAAAGAGACATAACATAGAAGAGGGAAAGAGGTGCTTAATATCATCCCTGTATCCTGTCATAATGTAAGCAGAGAAAAGAGAGACATTGCATAGAAGAGGGAAGAGTGTGCTTAATATCATCCCTGTATCCTGTCATAATGTAAGCAGAGAAAAAGAGACATATGCATAGAAGAGGGAAGAGTGTGCTTAATATCATCCCTGTATCCTGTCATAATGTAAGCAGAGAGAAAGCATAGAAGAGGGAAGAGTGTGCTTATCATCATCCCCTGTATCCTGTCATAGAAGAGAAAAGGACATAGCATAGAAGAGGGAAGAGTGTGCTTAATATCATCCCTGTATCCTGTCATAATGTAAGAGAGAAAAAGAGACATAGCAGAGAAGTGGGGAAGAGTGTGAATAATATCATCCCTGTATCCTGTCATAATGTAAGCAGAGAAAAAGAGACATAGCATAGAAGGGGAAGAGTGTGTTACTCATCCCTGTATCCTGTCATAATGTAAGCAGAGAAAAGAGACATTAGCATAGAAGAGGGAAGAGTGTGCTTTAATATCATCCCTGTATCCTGTCATAATGTAAGCAGAGAAAAAGAGACATTGCATAGAAGAGGGAAGAGTGTGCTTAATATCATCCTTGTATCCTGTCATAATGTAAGCAGAGAAAAGACATAACATCAAGAGGGGGAAGTGTATGCTTATATCATCCCTGTATCCTGTCAGATATAAGCAGAGAAAAAGACATTAGCATAGAAGAGGGGAAGAGTGTGCTTAATATCATCCCTGTATCCTGTCATAATGTAAGCAGAGAAAAGAGACATAGCATAGAAGAGGGAAGAGTGTGCTTAATATCATCCCTGTATCCTGTCATAATGTAAGCAGAGAAAAAGAGACATAGCATAGAAGAGGGAAGAGTGTGCTTAATATCATCCCTGTATCCTGTCATAATGTAAACAGAGAAAAGAGACATAGCATAGAAGAGGGAAGAGTAATTATATCATCCCTGTATCCTGTCATTATGTAAGCAGAGAAAAAAGAGACACAGCATAGAAGAGGGAAAAGAGGTTTATATCATCCTTGTATCCTGTCATAATGTAAGCAGAGAAAAAGAGACAGAGCATAGAAGAGGGAAGAGTCTTTAATATCATCCCTGTATCCTGTCATAATGTAAGCAGAGAAAAGAGACATAGCATAGAAGAGGGGAAGAGTGTGATTAATATCATCCCTGTATCCTGTCATAATGTAAGCAGAGAAAAAGAGACAGATAGAAGAAAGAGACAATATCATCCCTGTATCCTGTCAAATGTAAGCAGAGAAAAGAGACATAGCATAGAAGATGGAAGAGTGTGCTTAATATCATCCCTGTATCCTGTCATTATGTAAACAGAGAAAAAGAGATATAGCATAGAAGAGGGGTAGAGTGTGCTTAATATCATCCCTGTATCCTGTCATAATGTAAGCAGAGAAAAAGAGACATTGCATAGAAGAGGGAAGAGTGTGCTTAATATCATCCCTGTATCCTGTCATAATGTAAGCAGAGAAAAAGAGACATAGCATAGAAGAGGGAAGAGTGTGCTTAATATCATCCCTGTATCCTGTCATAATGTAAGCAGAGAAAAGAGACATAGCATAGAAGAGGAAGAGTGTGCAATATCATCCCTGTATCCTGTCATAATGTAAGCAGAGAAAAAGAGACAGAGCATAGAAGAGGGGGAGAGTGAGCTTAATATCATCCCTGTATCCTGTCATAATGTAAGCAGAGAAAAAGAGACATAGCATAGAAGAGGGAAGAGTGTGCTTAATATCATCCCTGTATCCTGTCATAATGTAAGCAGAGAAAAAGAGACATAGCATAGAAGAGGGGAAGAGTGTGCTTAATATCATCCCTGTATCCTGTCATAATGTAAGCAGAGAAAAATAGACATAGCATAGAAGAGGGGAAGAGTGTGCTTAATATCATCCCCGTATCCTGTCATAATGTAAGCAGAGAAAAGAGACATAGCATAGAAGAGGGAAGAGTGTGCATAATATCATCCCTGTATCCTGTCATAATGTAAGCAGAGAAAAAGTGACATAGCATAGAAGAGGGAAGAGGTGATTAATATCATCCCTGTATCCTGTCATAATGTAAGCAGAGAAAAAGAGACATAGCATAGAAGAGGGAAGAGTGTGTTAATATCATCCCTGTATCCTGTCATAATGTAAGCAGAGAAAAAGAGACATAGCATAGAAGAGGGAAGAGTGTGTTTAATATCATCCATGTATCCCTGTCATTATGTAAGCAGAGAAAAATGAGACATAGCATAGAAGAGGGAAGAGTGTGCTATCATCCCTGTATCCTGTCATAATGTAAGTAGAGAAAAGAGACATAGCATAGAAGAGGGAAGAGTGTGCTTAATATCATCCCTGTATCCTGTCATAATGTAAGCAGAGAAAAAGAGACATAGCATAGAAGAGGGAAGAGTGTGCTTAATATCATCCTGTATCCTGTCATAATGTAAGCAGAGAAAAGAGACATAGCATAGAAGAGGGGAAGAGTGTGCTTAATATCATCCCTGTATCCTGTCATAATGTAAGCAGAGAAAAAAAGAGACATAGCATAGAAGAGGGAAGAGTGTGCTTAATATCATCCCTGTATCCTGTCATAATGTAAGAGAGAAAAGAGACATAGCATAGAAGTGGGGAAGAGTGTGCTTAATATCATCCATATATCCTGTCATAATGTAAGCAGAGAAAAGAGACATAGCATAGAAGAGGGAAGAGTGTGCTTAATATCATCCCTGTATCCTGTCATAATGTAAGCAGAGAAAAGAGACATAGTCATAGAAGAGGGAAGAGTGTGTTTAATATCATCCCTGTATCCTGTCATAATGTAAACAGAGAAAAAGAGACATAGCATAGAAGAGGGGAAGAGTGTGCTTAATATCATCCCTGTATCCTGTCATAATGTAAGCAGAGAAAAAGAGACATAGCATAGAAGAGGGAAGAGTGTGCTTAATATCATCCCTGTATCCTGTCATTATGTAAGCAGAGAAAAAGAGACATAGCATAGAAGAGGGAAGAGTGTGCTTAATATCATCCCTGTATCCTGTCATAATGTAAGCAGAGAAAAAGAGACATAGCATAGAAGAGGGGAAGAGGTGCTTAATCATCCCTGTATCCTGTCATAATGTAAGCAGAGAAAAGAGACATAGCATAGAAGAGGGGAAGAGTGTGCTTAATATCATCCCTGTATCCTGTCATAATGTAAGCAGAGAAAAAGAGACATAGCATAGAAGAGGGAAGAGTGTTAAATCATCCCTGTATCCTGTCATAATGTAAGCAGAGAAAAAGAGACATAGCATAGAAGAGGGAAGAGTGTGCTTAATATCATCCCTGTATCCTGTCATAATGTAAGCAGAGAAAAAGAGACATAGCATAGAAGAGGGAAGAGTGTGCTTAATATCATCCCTGTATCCTGTCATAATGTAAGCAGAGAAAAAGAGACATAGCATAGAAGAGGGAAGAGTGTGCTTAATATCATCCCTGTATCCTGTCATAATGTAAGCAGAGAAAAAGAGACATAGCATAGAAGAGGGGAAGAGTGTGCTTAATATCATCCCTGTATCCTGTCATTATGTAAGCAGAGAAAAAGAGACATAGAATAGAAGTGGGGAAGAGTGTGCTTAATATCATCCTTGTATCCTGTCATAATGTAAGCAGCGAAAAAGAGACATAGCAGAGAAGAGGGAAGAGTCTGCTTAATATCATCCCTGTATCCTGTCATAATGTAAGCAGAGAAAAAGAGACATAGCATAGAAGAGGGAAGAGTGTGCTTAATATCATCCCTGTATCCTGTCATTATATAAGCAGAGAAAAGAGACATAGCATAGAAGAGGGAAGAGGTGTTTAATATCATCCCTGTATCCTGTCATAATGTAAGCAGAGAAAAGAGACATTGCATAGAAGAGGGGAAGAGTGTGCTTAATATCATCCCTGTATCCTGTCATAATGTAAGCAGAGAAAAGAGACATAGCATAGAAGAGGGAAGAGTGTGCTTAATATCATCCCTGTATCCTGTCATAATGTAAGCAGAGAAAAAGAGACATAGCATAGAAGAAGGAAGAGTGTGCTTAATATCATCCCTGTATCCTGTCATAATGTAAGCAGAGAAAAAGAGACATAGCATAGAAGAGGGAAGAGTGTGCTTAATATCATCCCTGTATCCTGTCATAATGTAAGCAGAGAAAAGAGACATAGCATAGAAGAGGGAAGAGTGTGATTAATATCATCCCTGTATCCTGTCATAATGTAAGCAGAGAAAAAAGAGACATAGCATAGAAGAGGAAGAGTGTGCTTAATATCATCCCTGTATCCTGTCATAATGTAAGCAGAGAAAAGAGACATAGCATAGAAGAGGGGAAGAGTGTGCTTAATATCATCCCTGTATCCTGTCATAATGTAAGCAGAGAAAAAAGAGACATAGCATAGAAGAGGGAAGAGTGTGCTTAATATCATCCCTGTATCCTGTCATAATGTAAGCAGAGAAAAAGAGACATAGCATAGAAGAGGGAAGAGGTGCTTAATATCATCCCCTGTATCCTGTCATAATGTAAGCAGAGAAAGAGACATTGCATAGAAGAGGGAAGAGTGTGTTATATCATCCCTGTATCCTGTCATAATGTAAGCAGAGAAAAAGAGACATAGCATAGAAGAGGGAAGAGTGTGCTTATCATCCCTGTATCCTGTCATTAATGTAAGCAGAGAAAAAGAGACATAGCATAGAAGAGGGAAGAGGTGCTTAATATCATCCTGTATCCTGTCATAATGTAAGCAGAGAAAAAGAGACATAGCATAGAAGAGGGAAGAGTGTGCTTAATATCATCCATGTATCCTGTCATTATGTAAGCAGAGAAAAAGAGACATAGCATAGAAGAGGGGGGAAGAGTGTCCTGTCATAATTAATATCATCCCTGTATCCTGTCATAATGTAAGCAGAGAAAAGAGACATAGCATAGAAGAGGGAAGAGTGTGCTTAATATCATCCCTGTATCCTGTCATAATGTAAGCAGAGAAAAGAGACATAGCATAGAAGAGGGGAAGAGTGTGAAGAGGGAATATCATCCCTGTATCCTGTCATAATGTAAGCAGAGAAAAGAGACATAGCACAGAAGAGGGGAAGAGTGTGCTTAATATCATCCCTGTATCCTGTCATAATGTAAGCAGAGAAAAAGACATAGCATAGAAGAGGGAAGAGTGTGCTTAATATCATCCCTGTATCCTGTCATAATGTAAGCAGAGAAAAGAGACACAGCATAGAAGAGGGGAAGAGTGTGCTTAATATCATCCCTGTATCCTGTCATAATGTAAGCAGAGAAAAAGAGACATAGCATAGAAGAGGGAAGAGTGTGCTAATCATCCATGTATCCTGTCATTATGTAAGAGAGAAAAGAGACATAGCATAGAAGAGGGAAGAGTGTGCTTAATATCATCCCTGTATCCTGTCATAATGTAAGCAGAGAAAAAAGACATAGCATAGAAGAGGGAAGAGTGCTTATCATCCCTGTATCCTGTCATTATGTAAACAGAGAAAAAGAGACATAGCATAGAAGAGGGAAGAGTGTGCTTAATATCATCCCTGTATCCTGTCATAATGTAAGCAGAGAAAAAGACATAGCATAGAAGAGGGGAAGAGTGTGCTTAATATCATCCCCTGTATCCTGTCATAATGTAAGCAGAGAAAAGAGACATAGCATAGAAGAGGGGAAGAGTGTGCTTAATATCATCCCTGTATCCTGTCATAATGTAAAGCAGAAAAGAGACATAGCATAGAAGAGGGGAAGTGGATTAATATCATCCCTGTATCCTGTCATAATGTAAGCAGAGAAAAGAGACATAGCATAGAAGAGGGGAAGAGTGTGATTAATATCATCCCTGTATCCTGTCATAATGTAAGCAGAGAAAAAGAGACATAGCATAGAAGAGGGAAGAGTGTGCTTAATATCATCCCTGTATCCCTGTCATAATGTAAGCAGAGAAAAAGAGACATAGCATAGAAGAGGGAAGAGTGTGCTTAATATCATCCCTGTATCCTGTCAATGTGTAAGCAGAGAAAAGAGACATAGCATAGAAGAGGGAAGAGTGTGCTTAATATCATCCCCATCCTGTCATAATATGTAAGAAAAAAAAGACATAGCATAGAAGAGGGAAGAGTATGATTAATATCATCCCTGTATCCTGTCATAATAGAAGAGGGAGAGAAAAGAGACATATCATAGAAGAAGGGAAGAGTGTGCTTAATATCATCCCTTGTATCCTGTCATAATGTAAGCAGAGAAAAGAGACATAGCATAGAAGAGGGGAGAGTGTGCTTAATATCATCCCTGTATCCTGTCATAATGTAAGCAGAGAAAAGAGACATAGCATAGAAGAGGGAAGAGTGTGCTTAATATCATCCCTGTATCCTGTCATAATGTAAGCAGAGAAAAGAGACATAGCATAGAAGAGGGAAGAGTGTGTTAATATCATCCCTGTATCCTGTCATAATGTAAGCAGAGAAAAGAGACATAGCATAGAAGAGGGAAGAGTGTGCTTAATATCATCCCTGTATCCTGTCATAATGTAAGCAGAGAAAAGAGACATAGCATAGAAGAGGGAAGAGTGTGATTAATATCATCCCTGTATCCTGTCATAATGTAAGCAGAGAAAAAGAGACATAGCATAGAAGAGGGAAGAGGTGCTTAATATCATCCCCTGTATCCTGTCATTATGTAAGCAGAGAAAAGAGACATAGCATAGAAGAGGGGAAGAGTGTGCTTAATATCATCCCTGTATCCTGTCATAATGTAAGCAGAGAAAAGAGACATAGCATAAAAGCATAGAAGAGGGAAGAGAGAAAAGAGAAGAGGTATTATCATCCCTGTATCCTGTCATAATGTAAGCAGAGAAAAGAGACATAGCATAGAAGAGGGAAGAGTGTGCTTAATATCATCCCTGTATCCTGTCATAATGTAAGCAGAGAAAAAGAGACATAGCATAGAAGAGGGAAGAGTGTGATTAATATCATCCCTGTATCCTGTCATAATGTAAGCAGAGAAAAAGACATAGCATAGAAGAGGGAAGAGTGTGCTTAATATCATCCCTGTATCCTGTCATAATGTAAAGAGAAAAGAGACAGAGAGAAGAGGGAAGAGTGTGCTTAATATCATCCCTGTATCCTGTCATAATGTGCTAAGCAGAGGAGACAGAGTGTGCTTAATATCATCCCTGTATCCTGTCATAATGTAAGCAGAGAAAAGAGACATAGCATAGAAGAGGGGAAGAGTGTGCTTAATATCATCCCTGTATCCTGTCATAATGTAAGCAGAAAAAGAGACATAGCATAGAAGAGGGAAGAGTGTGTTAATATCATCCCCTGTATCCTGTCATAATGTAAGCAGAAAAAGAGACATAGCAAAAAAAAGACATCCCTGTATCCTGTCATAATGAAGCAGAGAAAAGAGACATAGCATAGAAGAGGGAAGAGGTGCTTATCATCCCTGTATCCTGTCATTATGTAAGCAGAGAAAAAGAGACATAGCATAGAAGAGGGAAGAGTGTGCTTAATATCATCCTTGTATCCTGTCATAATGTAAGCAGAGAAAAAGAGACATAGCATAGAAGAGGGAAGAGTGTGCTTAATATCATCCCTGTATCCTGTCATAATGTAAGAGAAAAGAGAAAATTATATATCCCCTGTATCCTAGAAAAGGGAAGAGTGTGCTTAATATCATCCCTGTATCCTGTCATAATGTAAGCAGAGAAAAAGAGACATTGCATAGAAGAGGGGAAGAGTGTGCTTAATATCATCCCTGTATCCTGTCATAATGTAAGCAGAGAAAAAGAGACATAGCATAGAAGAGGGAAGAGTGTGCTTAATATCATCCCTGTATCCTGTCATAATGTAAGCAGAGAAAAAGAGACATAGCATAGAAGAGGGAAGAGTGTGCTTAATATCATCCCTGTATCCTGTCATAATGTAAGCAGAGAAAAAGAGACATAGCATAGAAGAGGGGAAGAGTGTGCTTAATATCATCCCTGTATCCTGTCATAATGTAAGCAGAGAAAAGAGACATAGCATAGAAGAGGGAAGAGTGTGATTAATATCATCCCTGTATCCTGTCATAATGTAAGCAGAGAAAAAGAGACATAGCATAGAAGAGGGAAGAGTGTGCTTAATATCATCCCTGTATCCTGTCATAATGTAAGCAGAGAAAAAGAGACACAGCATAGAAGAGGGAAGAGGTGCTTAATATCATCCCTGTATCCTGTCATAATGTAAGCAGAAAAAAGAGACATAGCATAGAAGAGGGAAGAGTGATTAATATCATCCCTGTATCCTGTCATAATGTAAGCAGAGAAAAGAGACATAGCATAGAAGAGGGGAAGAGTGCTTATCATCATCCCTGTATCCTGTCATAATGTAAGCAGAGAAAAGAGACAATAGAAGAGGGAAGAGTGTGCTTACATCATCCTGTATCCTGTCATAATGAAGCAGAGAAAAGAGACATAGCATAGAAGGGGGAAGAGTGTGCTTAATATCATCCCTGTATCCTGTCATAAATGTAAGCAGAGAAAAGAGACATAGCATAGAAGAGGGAAGAGTGTGATTAATATCATCCCTGTATCCTGTCATAATGTAAGAGAGAAAAGAGACATAGCATAGAAGAGGGAAGAGTGTGCAAATATCATCCCCTGTATCCTGTCAAAGCAGAGAAAAAAGAGACATAGCATAGAAGAGGGGAAGAGTGTGCTTAATATCATCCCTGTATCCCCGTCATAATGTAAGCAGAGAAAAATAGACACAGTATAGAAGAGGGAAGAGTGTGCTTAATATCATCCCTGTATCCTGTCATAATGTAAGCAGAGAAAAAGAGACATAGCATAGAAGAGGGAAGAGTGTGATTAATATCATCCCTGTATCCTGTCATAATGTAAGCAGAGAAAAAGAGACATAGCATAGAAGAGGGAAGAGTGTGCTTAATATCATCCCTGTATCCTGTCATAATGTAAGCAGAAAAAAGAGACATAGCATAGAAGAGGGAAGAGTGTGCTTAATATCATCCCTGTATCCTGTCATAATGTAAGCAGAAAAAAGAGACATAGAAGAGGGGAAGAGGTAATATCATAGAAGAGGAGAAGAGTGTGAAGAGGGAAGAGGTTAATATCATCCCTGTATCCTGTCATAATGTAAGCAGAGAAAAGAGACATAGCATAGAAGAGGGAAGAGTGTGCTTAATATCATCCCTGTATCCTGTCATAATGTAAGCAGAGAAAAAGAGACATAGCATAGAAGAGGGAAGAGAGTGCTTAATATCATCCCTGTATCCTGTCATAATGTAAGCAGAAAAAAGAGACATAGCATAGAAGAGGGAAGAGTGTGCTTAATATCATCCCTGTATCCTGTCATAATGTAAGCAGAGAAAAGAGACATAGTATAGAAGAGGGGAAGAGTGTGGATTAATATCATCCCTGTATCCTGTCATTATGTAAAAGAAAAAGAGAAAAAGAGACATAGCATAGAAGAGGGGAAGAGAAATAGTGCCTTATATCATCCCTGTATACTGTCATAATGTAAGCAGAGAAAAAAGAGACATAGCATAGAAGAGGGAAGAGTGTGCTTAATATCATCCCTGTATCCTGTCATAATGTAAGCAGAGAAAAAAGAGACATAGCATAGAAGAGGGAAGAGTGTGCTTAATATCATCCCTGTATCCTGTCATAATGTAAGCAGAGAAAAGAGACATAGCATAGAAGAGGGAAGAGTAAGATTAATATCATCCCTGTATCCTGTCATAATGTAAGCAGAGAAAAGAGACAGCATAGAAGAGAAGAGCTTACATCATCCCTGTATCCTGTCATAATGTAAGCAGAAAAAGAGACATAGCATAGAAGAAGGGGAAGAGTGCTTAATATCATCCCTGTATCCTGTCATAATGTAAGCAGAGAAAAAGAGACACATCATCATAGAAGAGGGGAAGAGTAGCATAATATCATCCCTGTATCCTGTCATTATGTAAACAGAGAAAAAGAGACATTGCATAAGAAGAGGGAAGAGGTGCTTAATATCATCCCTGTATCCTGTCATAATGTAAGCAGAGAAAAAGAGACATTGCATAGAAGAGGGGAAGAGTGTGATTAATATCATCCCTGTATCCTGTCATAATGTAAGCAGAGAAAAAGAGACATTGCATAGAAGAGGGAAGAGTGTGCTTAATATCATCCCCTGTATCCTGTCATAATGTAAGCAGAGAAAAAAGACATTGCATAGAAGAGGGAAGAGTGTGCTTAATATCATCCCTGTATCCTGTCATAATGTAAGCAGAAAAAGAGACATAGCATAGAAGAGGGAAGAGTGTATCCTGTGCAGAGAAAAGAGACATAGCATATCATCCCTGTATCCTGTCATAATGTAAGCAGAGAAAAAGAGACAGAGCATAGAAGAGGGAAGAGTGTGCTTAATATCATCCCTGTATCCTGTCATTATGTAAACAGAGAAAAAGAGACATTGCATAGAAGAGGGGAAGAGTGTGCTTAATATCATCCCTGTATCCTGTCATAATGTAAGCAGAGAAAAAGAGACATTGCATAGAAGAGGGGTAGAGTGTGCTTAATATCATCCCTGTATCCTGTCATAATGTATGCAGAGAAAAAGAGACATAGCATAGAAGAGGAAGAGGTGTTTAATATCATCCCTGTATCCCGTCATAATGTAAGCAGAAAAAGAGACATAGCATAGAAGAGGAAGAGTGATTAATATCATCCCTGTATCCTGTCATAATGAGAAAAAGGAGCAGAGAAAAAGATCATCCCTGTATCCTGCATAATGTAAGCAGAGAAAAGAGACATAAAGGAAGAAGAGTGCTTAATATCATCCCTGTATCCTGTCATAATGTAAGCAGAGAAAAGAGACATTGCATAGAAGAGGGAAGAGTGCTAATATCATCCCTGTATCCTGTCATAATGTAAGCAGAGAAAAGAGTCATAACAAGAAGAGGGGAAGAGGGGAAGAGGTTAATATCATCCCTGTATCCCGTCATAATGTAAAACAGAGAAAAGAGAGACATAGCATAGAAGAGGGAAGAGTGTGCTTAATATCATCCCTGTATCCTGTCATAATGTAAGCAGAGAAAAAGAGACATAGCATAGAAGAGGGGAAGAGTGTGCTTAATATCATCCCTGTATCCTGTCATAATGTAAGCAGAGAAAAGAGACATAGCATAGAAGAGGGAAGAGTGTGATTAATATCATCCCTGTATCCTGTCATAATGTAAGCAGAGAAAAAGAGACATAGCATAGAAGAGGGAAGAGTGCTTAATATCATCCCTGTATCCTGTCATAATGTAAGCAGAGAAAAGAGACATAGCATAGAAGAGGGAAGAGTGTGCTTAATATCATCCCTGTATCCTGTCATAATGTAAGCAGAGAAAAGAGACATTGCAGAAGAGGGAAGAGGTGCTTAATATCATCCCTGTATCCTGTCATAATGTAAACAGAGAAAAGAGACATTGCATAGAAGAGGGAAGAGTGTGCTAATATCATCCCTGTATCCTGTCATAATGTAAGCAGAGAAAAAGAGACATAGCATAGAAGAGGGAAGAGTGTGCTTAATATCATCCCTGTATCCTGTCATAATGTAAGCAGAGAAAAGAGACATAGCATAGAAGAGGGAAGAGTGTGCTTAATATCATCCCTGTATCCTGTCATAATGTAAGCAGAGAAAAGAGACATAGCATAGAAGAGGGAAGAGTGTGCCACATCATCCCTGTATCCTGTCATAATGTAAGCAGAGAAAAAGAGACATAGCATAGAAGAGGGAAGAGTGTGCTTAATATCATCCCTGTATCCTGTCATAATGTAAGCAGAGAAAGAGAAAAGAGGGAAGAGTAATATCATCCCTGTATCCTGTCATAGAAGAAAGGAGACAGCAAGAAGAGGGAAGAGTGTGCTTAATATCATCCCTGTATCCTGTCATAATGTAAGCAGAGAAAAAGAGACATAGCATAGAAGAGGGAAGAGTGTGTTAATATCATCCCTGTATCCTGTCATAATGTAAGCAGAGAAAAAGAGACATAGCATAGAAGAGGGAAGAGTGTGCTTAATATCATCCCTGTATCCTGTCATAATGTAAACAGAGAAAAAGAGACATAGCATAGAAGAGGGAAGAGTGTGCTTAATATCATCCCTGTATCCTGTCATAATGTAAGCAGAGAAAAAGAGACATAGCATAGAAGAGGGGAAGTGTGTGCTTAATATCATCCCTGTATCCTGTCATAATGTAAGCAGAGAAAAGAGACATTACATAGAAGAGGGGAAGAGTGTGCTTAATATCATCCCTGTATCCTGTCATAGTAAGCAGAGAAAAGAGACATTGCATAGAAGAGGGAAGAGGTGCTTAATATCATCCCTGTATCCTGTCATAATGTAAGCAGAGAAAAAGAGACATAGCATAGAAGAGGGAAGAGTGTGCTTAATATCATCCCTGTATCCTGTCATAATGTAAGCAGAGAAAAAGTGACATAGCATAGAAGAGGGAAGAGTGTGCTTAATATCATCCCTGTATCCTGTCATAATGTAAGCAGAGAAAAAGAGACATAGCATAGAAGAGGGAAGAGTGTGCTTAATATCATCCCTGTATCCTGTCATAATGTAAGCAGAGAAAAAGAGACATAGCATAGAAGAGGGAGACATAGCATAGAAGAGGGAAGAGCTTAATATCATCCCTGTATCCTGTCATAATGTAAGCAGAGAAAAGAGACATAGCATAGAAGAGGGAAGAGTGTGATTAATATCATCCCTGTATCCCGTCATAATGTAAGCAGAGAAAAAGAGACATTACATAGAAGAGGGAAGAGACATAGTGAAGAGGGAAGAGTAATATCATCCCTGTATCCTGTCATAATGTAAGCAGAGAAAAGAGACATAGCATAGAAGAGGGAAGAGTGTGCTTAATATCATCCCTGTATCCTGTCATAATGTAAGCAGAGAAAAGAGACATAGCATAGAAGAGGGAAGAGTGTGCTTAATATCATCCCTGTATCCTGTCATAATGTAAGCAGAGAAAAGAGACATAGTGCAGAAGAGGGAAGAGTGTGCTTAATATCATCCCTGTATCCTGTCATAATGTAAGCAGAGAAAAGAGACATAGCATAGAAGAGGAAGAGGTGCTTAATCCCCTGTATCCTGTCATAATGTGCAGAGAAAAGAGACATAGCATAGAAGAGGGAAGAGTAGCTTATATCATCCCTGTATCCTGTCATAATGTAAGCAGAGAAAAAGAGACATAGCATAGAAGAGGGAAGAGTGTGCTTAATATCATCCCTGTATCCTGTCATAATGTAAGCAGAGAAAAGAGACAAGCATAGAAGAGGGAAGAGTGTGCTTAATATCATCCCTGTATCCTGTCATAATGTAAGAAAAGAGACAGAGAAAGAGACATAGCATAGAAGAAAAGAGAGAAGAGGGAAGAGTGTGCTTAATATCATCCCTGTATCCTGTCATAATGTAAGCAGAGAAAAGAGACATAGCATAGAAGAAGAGGTATCCTTTCATAATGTAAGCAGAGAAAAAAGAGACATTATAGAAGAGGGAAGAGTTGTGTAATATCATCCCCTGTATCCTGTCATAATGTAAGCAGAGAAAAAGAAAATAGAAGACATAGCATCCTAGAATGAAGCAGAGAAAAAGAGACACAGGGAAGAGGGGGAAGAGTGTGCTTAATATCATCCCTGTATCCTGTCATAATGTAAGCAGAGAAAAAGAGACATTGCATAGAAGAGGGAAGAGTGTGCTTAATATCATCCCTGTATCCTGTCATAATGTAAGCAGAGAAAAGAGACATTGCATAGAAGAGGGAAGAGTGTGCTTAATATCATCCCTGTATCCTGTCATAATGTAAGCAGAGAAAAAGAGACATAGCATAGAAGAGGGAAGAATGTGCTTAATATCATCCCTGTATCCTGTCATAATGTAAGCAGAGAAAAAAGACATAGCATAGAAGAGGGGAAGAGTGTGCTTAATATCATCCCTGTATCCTGTCATAATGCAAGCAGAGAAAAAGAGACATAGCATAGAAGAGGGAAGAGTGTGCTTAATATCATCCCTGTATCCTGTCATAATGTAAGCAGAGAAAAGAGACATAGCATAGAAGAGGGGAAGAGTGTGCTTAATATCATCCCTGTATCCTGTCATAATGTAAGCAGAGAAAAGAGACATAGCATAGAAGAGGGGGAAGAGTGTGCTTAATATCATCCCTGTATCCTGTCATAATGTAAGCAGAGAAAAAAGAGACATAGCATAGAAGAGGGAAGAGTGTGCTTAATATCATCCCTGTATCCTGTCATAATGTAAGCAGAGAAAAGAGACATAGCATAGAAGAGGGAAGAGTGTGCTTAATATCATCCCTGTATCCTGTCATAATGTAAGCAGAGAAAAGAGACATAGCATAGAAGAGGGAAGAGTGTGCTTAATATCATCCCTGTATCCTGTCATAATGCAAGCAGAGAAAAGAGACATCCTGTAGCATAGAAGAGGGAAGAGTGAAGCTTAATATCATCCCTGTATCCTGTCATAATGTAAGCAGAGAAAAAGAGACATAGCATAGAAGAGGGAAGAGTGTGCTTAATATCATCCCTGTATCCTGTCATAATGTAAGCAGAGAAAAGAGACATAGCATAGAAGAGGGAAGAGTGTGCTTAATATCATCCCTGTATCCTGTCATAATAAAAAGCAATGTAAGCAGAGAAAAGAGACATAGCATAGAAGAGGGGGAGAGTGTGCTTAATATCATCCCCTGTATCCTGTCATAATGTAAACAGAGAAAAGAGACATAGTACAGAAGAGGGAAGAGGTGCTTAATATCATCCCTGTATCCTGTCATAATGTAAGCAGAGAAAAAAGACATAGCATAGAAGAGGGAAGAGGGAGCCTAATATCATCCCTGTATCCCAATCATAATGTAAGCAGAGAAAAAAGAGACACAGCATAGAAGAGGGAAGAGTGTGCTTAATATCATCCCTGTATCCTGTCATAATGTAAGAGAGAAAAGAGAGCCTTATCATCCCCTGTATCCTGTCAAATGTAAAAGCAGAGAAAAAGAGACACAGCATAGAAAAAGGGAAGAGGTAATATCATCCCTGTATCCTGTCATAATGTAAGCAGAAAAAAGAGACATAGCATAGAAGAGGGAAGAGGTGCTTAATATCATCCCTGTATCCTGTCATAATGTAAGTAGAGAAAAGAGACATAGACATAGAAGAGGGAAGAGTGTGATTAATATCATCCCTGTATCCTGTCATAATGTAAGCAGAGAAAAAGAGACATAGCATAGAAGAGGGAAGAGTGAAAATCCCTGTATCCTGTCATGATGTAAGCAGAGAAAAGAGACATAGCATAGAAGAGGGAAGAGTGAGCTTAATATCATCCCTGTATCCTGTCATAATGTAAGCAGAGAAAAGAGACATAGCATAGAAGAGGGAAGAGTGTGTTAATATCATCCCTGTATCCTGTCATAATGTAAGCAGAGAAAAGAGACATAGCATAGAAGAGGGGAAGAGGTGTTTAATATCATCCCTGTATCCTGTCAGCAATGTAAGCAGAGAAAAGAGACATAGGAAGAAGGGAAGAGTGTGCTTAATATCATCCCTGTATCCCGTCATAATGTAAGCAGAGAAAAGAGACATTGTATAGAAGAGGGGTAGAGAGTGCTTAATATCATCCCTGTATCCTGTCATAATGTGAGAAAAAGAGACATTGCATAGAAGAGGGGAAGAGTGTGTTTAGAGAAAAGAGATATCATCCCCTGTATCCTGTCATAATGTAAAGAGATAAAAAGAGACATAGCATAGAAGAAGGGAAGAGGTGCTTAATATCAGTATCCTGTCATAATGTAAGAAAAAAGAGACATTGCATAGAAGAGGGGTAGTGTGTAATATCATCCCTGTATCCTGTCATAATGTAAGCAGAGAAAAGAGACATTGTATAGAAGAGGGAAGAGTGAGCCTAATATCATCCCTGTATCCTGTCATAATAGAGAAAAAGAGACATTGCAAAGAGACAGAGACATATCCTGTCATAATGAAGAAAAAGGAGAAGAGGGAAGAGGTGCTTAATATCATCCCTGTATCCTGTCATAATGTAAGCAGAGAAAAGAGACATAGTATAGAAGAGGGGAAGAGGTGCTTAATATCATCCCTGTATCCTGTCATAATGTAAAAAAGAGACATAGAGAAAAAGAGACATCCCCTGTATCCTGTCATAATAAGCAGAAAAAGAGAGACATAGCATAGAAGAAGGGAAGAGTGTGCTTAATATCATCCCTGTATCCTGTCATAATGTAAGCAGAGAAAAGAGACATAGCATAGAAGAGGGAAGAGTGTGCTTAATATCATCCCTGTATCCTGTCATAATAAAAGCAGAGAAAAGAGACATTGCATAGAAGAGGGGAGAGGTGCTTAATATCATCCCTGTATCCTGTCATAATGTAAGCAGAGAAAAAGAGACATAGCATAGAAGAGGGAAGAGTGTGCTTAATATCATCCCTGTATCCTGTCATAATGTAAGCAGAGAAAAAGAGACATAGCATAGAAGAGGGAAGAGTGTGCTTAATATCATCCCTGTATCCTGTCATAATGTAAGCAGAGAAAAAGAGACATAGCATAGAAGAGGGAAGTGTGAGCCTTATATCATCCCTGTATCCTGTCATAATAAAAGCAGAGAAAAAGAGACATAGCATAGAAGAAGGAAGAGTGTGCTTAATATCATCCCTGTATCCTGTCATAATGTAAGCAGAGAAAAAGAGACATCGTATAGCAGAGGGAAGAGTGTGTGTAATATCATCCCTGTATCCTGTCATAATGTAAGCAGAGAAAAGAGACATAGCATAGAAGAGGAAGAGGAGTTTAATATCATCCCTGTATCCTGTCATAATGTAAGCAGAGAAAAAGAGACATAGCATAGAAGAGGGGGAGAGAGTGCTTAATATCATCCCTGTATCCTGTCATAATGTAAGCAGAGAAAAGAGACATAGCATAGAAGAAGGGAAGAGGTGCTTAATATCATCCCTGTATCCTGTCATAATGTAAGCAGAGAAAAAGAGACATTGCATAGAAGAGGGGTCCAGTGTGCTTAATATCATCCCTGTATCCTGTCATAATGTAAACAGAGAAAAGAGACATAGCATAGAAGAGGGAAGAGGTGCTTAATATCATCCCTGTATCCTGTCATAATGTAAGCAGAGAGAAAAAGAGACATTGCATAGAAGAGGAAAAAGAGACATGTGCTTAATATCATCCCTGTATCCTGTCATAATGTAAGCAGAGAAAAAGAGACATAGCATAGAAGAGGGAAGAGTGAGCCTTATCTCATCCCTGTATCCTGTCATAATAAAAGCAGAGAAAAAGAGACATAGCATAGAAAAGGTAAGAGTGTGCTTAATATCATCCCTGTATCCTGTCATAATGTAAGCAGAAAAAAAGAGACATAGCATAGAAGAGGGAAGAGTGTGCCTAATATCATCCCTGTATCCTGTCATAATGTAAGCAGAGAAAAAGAGACATAGCATAGAAGAGGGGAAGAGTGTGATTAATATCATCCCTGTATCCTGTCATAATGTAAGCAGAGAAAAAGAAAAAAGAGGGAAGAGTGTGTTTAATATCATCCCCATCCTGTCATAATGAAGAGGGAAAAGAGACATGCCTAGAAGAAGGAAGAAGAGGTGTGTAATATCATCCCTGTATCCTGTCATAATGTAAGCAGAGAAAAGAGACATTGCATAGAAGAGGGAAGAGGTGCTTAATATCATCCCTGTATCCTGTCATCAAATGTAAGCAGAGAAAAGAGACATAGCATAGAAGAGGGAAGAGTGTGCTTATTATCATCCCTGTATCCTGTCATAATGTAAGCAGAGAAAAAGAGACATAGCATAGAAGAGGGAAGAGTGTGCTTAATATCATCCCTGTATCCTGTCATAATGTAAGCAGAGAAAAGAGACATAGCATAGAAGAGGGAAGAGGTGCTTAATATCATCCCTGTATCCTGTCATAATGTAAGCAGAGAAAAAGAGACAATATCATCCCTGTATCCTGAAATGTAAGGAGAAAAAGAGAAGAGATATTCCTGAAGAGGGAAAAGAGACAGCTTAAAAGGTATCATCCCTGTATCCTGTCATAATGTAAGCAGAAAAGAAAAGCATAGAAGAAGGAAGAGTGTGCCTAATATCATCCCTGTATCCTGTCATAATGTAAGAGAGAAAAGAGACATAGATAGAAGAGGGAAGAGGTGGATTAATATCATCCCTGTATCCTGTCATAATGTAAGCAGAGAAAAGAGACATAGCATAGAAGAGGGAAGAGTGTGCTTATATCATCCCTGTATCCTGTCATAATGTAAGCAGAGAAAAAGAGACATAGCATAGAAGAGGGAAGAGTGTGCTTAATATCATCCCTGTATCCTGTCATAATGTAAGCAGAGAAAAGAGACATAGCATAGAAGAGGGGAAGAGTGTGCTTAATATCATCCCTGTATCCCGTCATAATGTAAGCAGAGAAAAAAAGACATAGCATAGAAGAGGGAAGAGTGTGCTTAATATCATCCCTGTATCCTGTCATAATGTAAGCAGTAAAAAGAGAAAAGAGACATTGCATAGAAGAGGGAGACAGCATAGAAGAAGGAAGAGTGAGCCTATATCATCCCTGTATCCTGTCATAATGTAAGAGAGAAAAGAGACATAGCATAGAAGAGGGGAAGAGGTGCTTAATATCATCCCTGTATCCTGTCATAATGTAAGCAGAGAAAAGAGACATTGCATAGAAGAGGGAAGAGAGTGTTAATATCATCCCCCCTGTATCCTGTCATAATGTAAGCAGAGAAAAGAGACATTGCATGAGAAGAAGGGGGAAGTGACATGTGCCTAATATCATCCTGTATCCTGTCATAATGTAAGCAGAGAAAAGAGACACGTGCATAGAAGAGGAAGAAAGCCTTATCTCATCCCTGTATCCTGTCATAAAAAAAGCAGAGAAAAAGAGACATTACAGAAGAAGGAAGAGGTGCTTAATATCATCCCCTGTATCCCGTCATAATGTAAGCAGAGAAAAGAAGAGACATAGTATAGCAGAGGGAAGAGTGTGTGTAATATCATCCCTGTATCCTGTCATTATGAAAACAGAGAAAAAGAGACATAGCATAGAAGAGGGAAGAGGACACATCATCCCTCTATCCTGTCATAATGTGTTAGAAAAAAGAGACAGCATAGAAGAAGGAAGAGGTGCTTAATATCATCCCTGTATCCTGTCATAAATGTAAGCAGAGAAAAATAGAGACATAGAAGATCCCTGTATACCGAAATGGAAGAGTAGCATAGAAGAGAAGAGTCTGCTTAATATCATCCCTGTATCCCGTCATAATGTAAGGCAGAGAAAAGAGACATTGATAGCAGAGGGAAGAGTGTGATTAATATCATCCCTGTATCCTGTCATAATGTAAGCAGAGAAAAGAGACATTGATAGAAGAGGGAAGAGGTGCTTAATATCATCCCTGTATCCCGTCATAATGTAAGCAGAGAAAAAGAGACAGCATAGAAGAAGGAAGAGGTGCTTAATATCATCCCTGTATCCTGTCATAATGTAAGCAGAGAAAAGAGACATAGCGTAGAAGAAGGAAATATCATCCTGTATCTTAATATCATCCCCTGTATCCTGTCATAATGTAAGCAGAGAAAAGAGACATAGCATAGAAGAAGGAAGAGGTGCTTAATATCATCCCCTGTATCCTGTCATAATGTAAGCAGAGAAAAGAGACATAGCATAGAAGAGGGAAGAGTGTGCTTAATATCATCCCTGTATCCTGTCATAATGTAAGCAGAGAAAAGAGACAGCATAGAAGAGGGAAGAGTGTGCTTAATATCATCCCTGTATCCTGTCAAATGTAAGCAGAGAAAAGAGACATAGCATAGAAGAGGGAAGAGTGTTTAATATCATCCCTGTATCCTGTCATAATGTAAGCAGAGAAAAGAGACATAGCATAGAAGAGGGGGGAGAGCTTAATATCATCCCCTGTATCCTGTCATAATGTAAGCAGAGAAAAAGACATAGCATAGAAGAGGGAAGAGTGTGCTTATATCATCCCTGTATCCTGTCATAATGTAAGCAGAGAAAAGAGACATAGCATAGAAGAGGGAAGAGGCAGGCTTAATATCATCCCTGTATCCTGTCATAATGTAAACAGAGAAAAGAGACATCGCATAGAAGAGGAAGAGGTGCTTAATATCATCCCTGTATCCTGTCATAATGTAAGCAGAGAAAAGAGACATAGCATAGAAGAGGGAAGAGGTGCTTAATATCATCCTTGTATCCTGTCAAATGTAAGCAGAGAAAAAGAGACATAGCATAGAAGAGGGAAGAGGTGCTTAATATCATCCCTATATCCTGTCATAATGTAAGAGAAAAAGAGACATTGCAGGAAGAGGGAAGAGTGTGCTTAATATCATCCCTGTATCCTGGGTCATAATGTAAGCTGAGAAAAAGAGAGACATAGCAAGAAGGGGGGGAAGTGTGTGCTTAATATCATCCCTGTATCCTGTCATAATGTAAGCAGAGTAAAAGAGACAGAGAAAAGAGACATAGCATAGAAGAGGGAGAAGAAGGAAGTGCCTAATATCATCCCTTTATCCTGTCATAATAAAAGCAGAGAAAAAGAGACATAGCATAGAAAGGGGAAGAGGTGCTTAATATCATCCCTGTATCCTGTCATAATGTAAGCAGAGAAAAAGAGAGACATAGCATAGAAAAAGGAAGTGTGTGCTTAATATCATCCCCTGTATCCCGTCATAATGTAAGCAGAGTAAAAAGACATAAAGCATAGAAGAGGGAAGAGTGTGCCCAATATCATCCCCATCCTGTCATAATGTAAGCAGAGAAAAGAGACAGAGCATAGAAGAGGGAAGAGTGTGCTTTATCTCATCCCTGTATCCTGTCATAATGTAAGCAGAGAAAAGAGACATAGCATAGAAGAGGGGGAAGAGGTGATTAATATCATCCCTGTATCCTGTCATAATGTAAGCAGAGAAAAAGAGACATAGCACAGAAGAAGGGAAGAGTGAGCCTTATATCATCCCTGTATCCTGTCATAATAAAAGCAGAGAAAAATAGACATCCCCAGTATAGAAAAGGAAGAGACATAGCATAGAAGAAGGAAGATCATCCCTGTATCCTGTCATAATGTAAGCAGAGAAAAAAGAGACATAGTATAGAAGAGGGAAGAGGTGATTAATATCATCCCTGTATCCTGTCATAATGTAAAAGAGACAGAGAAAAGAGACAGAGCATAGAAGAGGGGAAGAGTGTGCTTTTAATATCATCCCTGTATCCTGTCATAATGAAAGCAGAAGAAAAGAGACATAGCATAGAAGAAGGAAGAGGAGCTTAATATCATCCCCTGTATCCTGTCATAATGTAAGCAGAGAAAAAAGAGACATATCCCTGTATCCTGTCAGAGAAGAAGAGAAAAAGGGAAGAAGAGGGGGAAGTGTGTGGCTTAATATCATCCCTGTATCCTGTCATAATGTAAGCAGAGAAAAGAGACATAGCATAGAAGAGGGGAAGAGTGTGCTTAATATCATCCCTGTATCCTGTCATAATGTAAGCAGAGAAAAGAGACATAGCATAGAAGAAGGAAGAGGTGCTTAATATCATCCCTGTATCCTGTCATAATGTAAGCAGAGAAAAGAGACATAGCATAGAAGAGGGAAGAGGTGCTTAATATCATCCCGTATCCTGTCATAATGTAAGCAGAGAAAAGAGACATAGCATAGAAGAGGGAAGTGTGTGCTTAATATCATCCCTGTATCCTTTCATAATGTAAGCAGAGAAAAGAGACATAGCATAGAAGAGGGAAGAGTGTGCTTAATATCATCCCTTATCCTGTCATAATGTAAGCAGAGAAAAAGAGACATAGCATAGAAGAGGGAAGAGTGTGAGGTAATATCATCCCTGTATCCTGTCATAATGTAAGCAGAGAAAAGACATAGCATAGAAGAGGGAAGAGTGTGCTTAATATCATCCCTGTATCCTGTCATAATGTAAGCAGAGAAAAAAGAGACATAGCATAGAAGAGGGAAGAGTGTGCTTAATATCATCCCTGTATCCTGTCATAATGTAAGCAGAGAAAAGAGACATAGCATAGAAGAGGGAAGAGTGTGCTTAATATCATCCCTGTATCCTGTCATAATGCAAGCAGAGAAAAGAGACACATAGCATAGAAGAGGGAAGAGGTGCTTAATATCATCCCTGTATCCTGTCATAATGTAAGCAGAAAAAGAGACATAGCATAGAAGAGGGAAGAGGTGTTTAATATCATCCCCTTATCCTGTCATAATGTAAGCAGAGAAAAAGAGACATAGCATAGAAGAGGGAAGAGTGTGCTTAATATCATCCCTGTATCCTGTCATAATGCAAGCAGAGAAAAAGAGACATAGCATAGACGAGGGAAGAGTGTGCTTAATATCATCCTGTATCCTGTCATAATGTGAGAAGAGAAAAAGAGACATAGCATAGAAGAGGGAAGAGGTGCTTAATATCATCCCTGTATCCTGTCATAATGCAAGCAGAGAAAAGAGACATAGCATAGAAGAGGGAAGAGTGTGTTAATATCATCCCCGTATCCTGTCATAATGTAAGCAGAGAAAAAAGAGACATAGCATAGAAGAGGGAAGAGTGTGCTTAATATCATCCCTGTATCCTGTCATAATGTAAGCAGAGAAAAAGAGACATTGCATAGAAGAGGGAAGAGTGTGCTTAATATCATCCCCTGTATGTCATAATGTAAAAGAAAAGAGACATGCATCATATCATCCCTGTATCCTGTCATAAGCCAAGAAAATGAGACATAGCATAGAAGAGGGAAGAGGTGCTTAATATCATCCCTGTATCCTGTCAAGTAATGTAAGCAGAGAAAAAGAGACATAGCATAGAAGGGGGAAGTGTGAGCTTAATATCATCCCTGTATCCTGTCATAATGCAAGCAGAGAAAAAGAGACATAGCATAGAAGGGGAAAAGTGTGCTTAATATCATCCCCTGTATCCTGTCATAATGCAAGCAGAGAAAAGAGACATAGCATAGAAGAGGGAAGAGTGTGCTTAATATCATCCCTGTATTCTGTCACAATGTAAGCAGAGAAAAGAGACATAGCACAGAAGAGGGAAGAGTGTGCTTAATATCATCCCTGTATCCTGTCATAATGTAAGCAGAGAAAAAGAGACACTGCATAGAAGAGGGAAGAGTGTGCTTAATATCATCCCTGTATCCTGTCATAATGCAAGCAGAGAAAAAAGAGACAGCATAGAAGAGGGAAGAGTGCTTAATATCATCCCTGTATCCTGTCATAATGCAAGCAGAGAAAAAGAGACAGAGCATTGAAGAGGGAAGAGGTGCTTAATATCATCCCCTGTATCCTGTCATAATGCAAGAGAGAAAAGAGACAGAGCATAGAAGAGGGAAGAGTGTGCTTAATATCATCCCTGTATCCCGTCATAAAGTAGAGAAAGAGAAAAAGAAGAAGGAAGTGTGCATTATCATCCCTGTATCCCGTCATAATGAAGAGAAAAGAGACATAGAGAAGAGGAAGAGTTTTATATCATCCCTGTATCCTGTCATAATAAAAGCAGAGAAAAAGAGACATAGCATAGAAAAGGGAAGAGGTGCTTAATATCATCCCTGTATCCTGTCATAATGTAAGAGAAAAAAGAGACATAGCATAGAAGAGGGAAGAGTGTGCTTAATATCATCCCTGTATCCTGTCATAATGTAAGCAGAAAAAAGAGACATAGCATAGAAGAGGGAAGAGAGAGTGTAATTATCATCCCTGTATCCTGTCATAATGTGAGCAAAGAAAAAGAGACATAGCATAGAAGGGAAGAGGAGCTTAATATCATCCCTGTATCCTGTCATAATGTGTTAAGAGAAAAGAGACATAGCATAGAAGAGGGGAAGAGTGTGCTTAATATCATCCCCTGTATCCTGTCATAATGTAAGCAGAGAAAAAGAGACAGCATAGAAGAGGGGAAGAGGTGCTTAATATCATCCCTGTATCCTGTCATAATGTAAGCAGAAAAAAGAGACATAGCATAGAAGAGGGGGAAGAGGTGATTAATATCATCCCTGTATCCTGTCATAATGTAAGCAGAGAAAAAGAGACATAGCATAGAAGAGGGAAGAGTGTGCTTAATATCATCCCCTGTATCCTGTCATAATGTAAGCAGAGAAAAAGAGACATAGCATAGAAGAGGGGAAGAGGTGCTTAATATCATCCCTGTATCCTGTCATAATGCAAGCAGAGAAAAAGAGACATAGCATAGAAGAGGGAAGAGTGTGCTTAATATCATCCTTTTATCCTGTCATAATGTAAGCAGAGAAAAAGAGACATAGCATAGAAGAGGGAAGAGTGTGCTTAATATCATCCCTGTATCCTGTCATAATGCAAGCAGAGAAAAACAGAGCATAGAAGAGGGAAGAGACATTGTGAAGAGGGGTAATATCATCCCTGTATCCTGTCATAATGTGAAGCAAGAAAAGAGACATAGCATAGAAGAGGGAAGTGTGTGCTTAATATCATCCCTGTATCCTGTCATAATGCAAGCAGAGAAAAAGAGACACAGTATAGAAGAAGGAAGAGTGTGCTTAATATCATCCCCTGTATCCTGTCATAATGCAAGTTAGAGAAAAGAGACATAGCATAGAAGAGGGAAGAGTGTGCTTAATATCATCCTTGTATCCTGTCATAATGCAAGCAGAGAAAAAGAGACATAGCATAGAAGAGGGAAGAGTCATAATGTAAGCAGAGAAAAAGAGACATTAATATCATCCCTGTATCCTGTCATAATGTAAGCAGAGAAAAATAGACATAGCATAGAAGAGGGAAGAGGCTTAATATCATCCCCTGTATCCCGTCATAATGCAAGCAGAAAAAGAGACATAGCATAGAAGAGGGAAGAGTGTGCTTAATATTATCCCTGTATCCTGTCATAATGTGAGCTGAGAAAAGAGACAGAGCATAGAAGAGGGAAGAGGTGTTTAATATCATCCCTGTATCCTGTCATAATGCAAGCAGAGAAAAGAGACATAGCATAGAAGAGGGAAGAGTGTGCTTAATATCATCCCTGTATCCTGTCATAATGTAAGCAGAGAAAAGAGAGACATAGTATAGAAGAGGGAAGAGTGTGCTTATCATCCCTGTATCCTGTCATAATGCAAGCAGAGAAAAAGAGACATAGCATAGAAGAGGGAAGAGTGTGCTTAATATCATCCCTGTATCCTGTCATAATGCAAGCAGAGAAAAAGAGACATAGCATAGAAGAGGGAAGAGTGTGCTTAATATCATCCCTGTATCCTGTCATAATGCAAGCAGAGAAAAAGAGACATAGCAGAAGAGGGAAGAAGAGGGAAGAGGTGCTTAATATCATCCCTGTATCCTGTCATAATGCAAGCAGAGAAAAAAGAGACAGAGCATAGAAGGGGGAAGAGAGCTTAATATCATCCCCTGTCATCCCGTAATAATGCAAGCAGAGAAAAGAGATCCTGTCATATAGCATAGAAGAGGGAAGAGGTGCTTAATATCATCCCTGTATCCTGTCATAATGCAAGCAGAGAAAAAAGAGACATAGCATAGAAGAGGGAAGAGTGTGCTTAATATCATCCCTGTATCCTGTCATAATGTAAGCAGAGAAAAGAGACATAGTATAGAAGAGGGGTAGAGGTGCTTAACATCATCCCTGTATCCCGTCATAATGCAAGCAGAGAAAAAGAGACATAGCATTGAAGAGGGAAGAGTGTGCTTATATCATCCCTGTATCCTGTCATAATGCAAGCAGAGAAAAAAGAGAGCATAGAAGAGGGAAGAGTGTGCTTAATATCATCCTGTATCCTGTCATAATGCAAGCAGAGAAAAGAGACAGAGCATTGAAGAGGGAAGAGGTGCTTAATATCATCCCCTGTATCCTGTCATAATGCAAGCAGAGAAAAAGAGACATAGCATAGAAGAGGGAAGAGTGTGTTTAATATCATCCCCTGTATCCTGTCATAATGCAAGCAGAGAAAAAGAGACATTAAATTGAAGAGGGAAGAGTGTGCTTTAATATCATCCTTTGTATCCTGTCATCATAATGCAAGCAGAGAAAAGAGACATAGTATTGAAGAGGGAAGAGGTGCTTAATATCATCCCTGTATCCTGTCATAATGCAAGCAGAGAAAAGAGACACAGCATAGAAGAGGAAGAGGTGCTTTATATCATCCCTGTATCCTGGGTCATAATGTAAGCCAAGAAAATGAGACAAAGCATAGAAGAGGGAAGTATGTGCTTAATATCATCCCCTGTATCCTGTCATAATGCAAGCAGAGAAAAGAGACATAGCATAGAAGAGGGAAGAGTGTGGCTAATATCATCCCTGTATCCTGTCATAATGTAAGCAGAGAAAAAGACATAGCATAGAAGAGGGGAAGTGTGTGCTTAATATCATCCCTGTATCCTGTCATAATGCAAGCCAAGAAAATGAGACATAGGATAGAAGAGGGGAAGTGTGTGCTTAATATCATCCCTGTATCCTGTCATAATGCAAGCAGAGAAAAGAGACACAGCATAGAAGAGGGGAAGAGGTGCTTAATATCATCCCTGTATCCTGTCATAAATGCAAGCAGAGAAAAGAGAGACATAGCATCATCCTGTAGAAGAGGGAAGAGAGACATGCATTAAGAGGAAGAGTATCATCCCTGTATCCTGTCATAATGCAAGCAGAGAAAAGAGACATAGCATAGAAGAGGGAAGAGGTGCTTAATATCATCCCCTTGTATCCTGTCATAATGCAAGCAGAGAAAAAAGACAGAGCATAGAAGAGGGAAGATGCAGTTAATATCATCCTGTATCCTGTCATAATGTAAGCAGAGAAAAAGGACATAGCATAGAAGAGGGAAGAATGCTTGTATTATCATCCCTGTATCCTGTCATAATGCAAGCAGAGAAAAAAGACATAGCATAGAAGAGGGAAGAGTGTGCTTAATATCATCCCTGTATCCTGTCATAATGCAAGCAGAGAAAAAAAGAGATAGCATAGAAGAGGGGAAGAGTGTGCTTAATATCATCCCTGTATCCTGTCATAATGCAAGCAGAGAAAAAAGAGACACAGTATAGAAGAGGGGAAGAGAGTGCTTAATATCATCCCTGTATCCTGTCATAATGCAAGCAGAGAAAAAGAGACACAGCATAGAGGAGGGAAGAGGCTTAATATCATCCCTGTATCCTGTCATAATGCAAGCAGAAAAAGAGACAGAGCATAGAAGAGGGAAGAGTGTGTTTAATATCATCCCTGTATCCTGTCATAATGCAAGCAGAGAAAAGAGACATAGCATAGAAGAGGGAAGAATGCTTAATATCATCCCTGTATCCCGTCATAATGTGTAAGCAGAGAAAAAGACACAGCATAGAAGAGGGGAAGAGTGTGCTTAATATCATCCCTGTATCCTGTCATAATGCAAGCAGAGAAAAGAGACAGCATAGAAGAGGGAAGAGTGTGCTTAATATCATCCCTGTATCCCGTCATAATGCAAGCAGAGAAAAGAAGACATAGCATAGAAGAGGGGAAGAGTGTGCTTAATATCATCCCTGTATCCTGTCATAATGCAAGCAGAGAAAAAGAGACATAGCATAGAAGAGGGAAGAGGTGCTTAATATCATCCCTGGTCCTGTCATAATGCAAGCAGAGAAAAAAGACATAGCATAGAAGAGGGAAGAGGTGCTTAATATCATCCCTGTATCCTGTCATAATGCAAGCAGAGAAAAAAGAGACATAGCATAGAAGAGGGAAGAGTGTGCTTAATATCATCCATGTATCCTGTCATAATGCAAGCAGAGAAAAGAGATATAGCATAGAAGAGGGGAAGAGTGTGCTTAATATCATCCCTGTATCCTGTCATAATGTAAGCAGAGAAAAGAGACATAGCATAGAAGAGGGAAGAGTGTGTTAATATCATCCCTGTATCCCGTCATAAATGTAAGCAGAGAAAAAAGACAGAGCATAGAAGAGGGGAAGGTATGCTTAATATCATCCCCTGTATCCTGTCATAATGCAAGCAGAGAAAAGAGACATAGCATAGAAGAGGGAAGAGTGTGCTAATATCATCCCTGTATCCTGTCATAATGCAAGAAAAGATAGCAGAGAAAAAGAGACATTGCATAGAAGAAGGAAGAGAGACATAGCATAGAAGAGGGAAGAGGTATCATCCCTGTATCCTGTCATAATGCAAGCAGAGAAAAGAGACATTGCATAGAAGAGGGGAAGAGTGTGCTTAATATCATCCCTGTATCCTGTCATAATGCAAGCAGAGAAAAAAGAGACACAGCATAGAAGAGGGAAGAGGTGTTTAATATCATCCCTGTATCCTGTCATAATGCAAGCAGAGAAAAAGAGATGATAGCATAGAAGAGGGAAGAGTCCCCTGCCTTAATATCATCCCTGTATCCTGTCATAATGTAAGCAGAGAAAAGAGACATAGCATAGAAGAGGGGAAGAGTGTGCTTAATATCATCCCCAGTATCCTGTCACAATGCAAGCAGAGAAAAGAGACATTGCATAGAAGAGGGAGTATGCTAATATCATCCCCTGTATCCTGTCATAATGTACAGAGAAAAAAGATAGCATAGAAGAGGGAAGAGGTGCTTAATATCATCCCTGTATCCTGTCATAATGCAAGCAAAAGAGAAAAAGAGACATAGCATAGAAGAGGGGAAGAGGTGCTTAATATCATCCCTGTATCCTGTCATAATGTGTTAGAGAAAAGAGACATAGCATAGAAGAGGGGGAAGAGTGTGCTTAATATCATCCCTGTATCCTGTCATAATGCAAGCAGAGAAAAGAGACATAGCATAGAAGAGGAAGAGTATGTAAGATCATCCCTGTATCCCCCATGTCATAATGTAAGCAGAGAAAAGAGACAGAGCATAGAAGAGGGAAGAGTGCTTAATATCATCCCTGTATCCTGCACATAATGCAAGCAGAGAAAAAGAGACATTGCATAGAAGAGGGGAAGAGGTGAGCTTAATATCATCCCTGTATCCTGTCATAATGTAAGCAGAGAAAAAGAGACATAGCATAGAAGAGGGAAGAGGTGTTAATATCATCCCTGTATCCTGTCATAATGTAAGCAGAGAAAAGAGACATAGCATAGAAGAGGGAAGGTGTGTTTAATATCATCCTGTATCCTGTCATAATGTGCAAGAGAAAAAGAGACATAGCATAGAAGAGGGAAGAGTGTGATTAATATCATCCCTGTATCCTGTCATAATGTAAGCAGAGAAAAGAGACATAATCCCTGTATCCTGTCAGAATGTAGGGAAAAGTGTGCATAGAAGAGGGGAATATATCATCCCTGTATCCTGTCATAATGTAAGCAGAGAAAAAAGACATAGCATAGAAGAGGGGAAGAGTGTGTTTAATATCATCCCTGTATCCTGTCATAATGCAAGCAGAGAAAGAGACATAGCATAGAAGAGGGGAAGAGTGGGCTTAATATCATCCCTGTATCCTGTCATAATGTAAGCAGAGAAAAAGAGACATAGCATAGAAGAGGGAAGAGTGTGTTTAATATCATCCCTGTATCCCGTCATAATGCAAGCAGAGAAAAGAGACATAGCATAGAAGAGGGAAGAGTGTGCTTAATATCATCCCTGTATCCTGTCATAATGTAAGCAGAGAAAAGAGACATAGCATAGAAAGAGGGCTTAATCATCCCTGTATCCTGTCAATATCATCCCTGTATCCTGTCATAATGCAAGCAGAAAAGAGACAGAGCATAGAAGAGGGAAGAGTGTGGCTTAATATCATCCCTGTATCCTGTTATTATGTAAGCAGAAAAAAGAGAATGAGCATAGAAGAGGGAAGAGGTGCTTAATATCATCCCTGTATCCTGTCATAATGTAAGCAGAGAAAAAGAGACATGAGCATAGAAGAGGGAAGTGTGGGATTAATATCATCCCTGTATCCGGTCATAATGAAAGCAGAGAAAAAGAGACATAGCATAGAAGAGGGAAGTGTGGGATTAATATCATCCCTGTATCCTGTCATAATGTAAGCAGAGGAAAAGAGACATAACATAGAAGAGGGAAGAGTGTGTTTAATATCATCCCTGTATCCTGTCATAATGTAAGCAGAGAAAAAGAGACATAGCATAGAAGAGGGAAGAGTGTGCTTAATATCATCCTTGTATCCTGTCATAATGCAAGCAGAAAAAAGAGACATATCATCCTTGCCTGTCATAATGAAAAGGAAGAGGGGCCAATATCATCCCTGTATCCCAAGTCATAATGTAAGCAGAGAAAAAAAAAAATAGCATAGAAGAGGGGAAGAGTTAAGTTAATATCATCCCTGTATTTTGTCATAATGTAAACAGAGAAAAAGAGACATAGCATAGAAGAGGGAAGAATGTCATTAATATCATCCCTGTATCCTGTCATAATGTTATCAGAAAAAAAGAGACATAGCATAGAAGAGGGAAGAGTGTGCTTAATATCATCCCTGTATCCTGTCATAATGTAAGCAGAGAAAAAGTGACAGAGCTTAGAAGAGGGAAGAGTGTGCTTAATATCATACCTGTATCCTGTCATAATGTAAGCAGAGAAAAAAAGACATAGCATAGAAGAGGGAAGAGGTGCTTAATATCATCCCCTGTATCCCTGTCATAATGTAAGCAGAGAAAAAGACAGAGCATAGAAGAGGGAAGAGGTGTTTAATATCATCCCTGTATCCTGTCATGATGTAAGTAGAGACAAAGAGACAGAGCATAGAAGAGGGGAAGAGTGTGCTTAATACCATCCCTGTATCCTGTCATAATGTAAGCAGAAAAAGAGACAGAGCATAGAAGAGGGATGAGTGTGCTTAATATCATCCCTGTATCCTGTCATAATGTAAGCAGAGAAAAAGAGACATAGCATAGAAGAGGAAGAGGTGTAACATCATCCCTGTATCCTGTCATAATGTAAGCAGAGAAAAGAGACATAGCATAGAAGAGGGAAGAGTGTGCTTAATATCATCCCTGTATCCTGTCATAATGTAAGCAAGCAGAGAAAAGAAGACATAGCATAGAAGAGGCATAAGAGTGTGCTTAATATCATCCCCTGTATCCTGTCATAATGTGTAAGCAGAGAAAAAGAGACATAGCATAGAAGAGGGAAGAGTGTGCCTAATATCATCCCTGTATCCTGTCATAATGCAACCAGAGAAAAAGAGACATAGTATAGAAGAGGGAAGAGTGTCATTAATATCATCTCTGTATCCTGTCATAATGTAATCAGAAAAAAATTGACATAGCATAGAAGAGGGAATAGTGTGCTTAATATCATCCCTGTATCCTGTTATTATGTAAGCAGAGAAAAAGAGAATGAGCATAGAAGTGGGAAGAGTGTGCTTAATATCATCCCTGTATCCTGTCATAATGTAAGCAGAGAAAAAGAGACATAGCATAGAAGAGGGAAGTGTGGGATTAATATCATCCCTGTATCCGGTCATAATGAAAGCAGAGAAAAAGAGACATAGCATAGAAGAGGGGAAGAGTGTGATTAATATCATCCCTGTATCCTGTCATAATGTAAGCAGAGAAAAAGAGACATAGCATAGAAGAGGGAAGTGTGGGATTAATATCATCCCTGTATCCGGTCATAATGAAAGCAGAGAAAAAGAGACATAGCATAGAAGAGGGAAGAGTGTGCTTAATATCATCCCTGTATCCTGTGATAATGTAAGCAGAGAAAAAGAGACATAGCATAGAAGAGGGGAAGAGTGTGCTTAATATCATCCCTGTATCCTGTCATAATGTAAGCAGAGAAAAAGAGACATAGCATAGAAGAGGGAAGTGTGGGATTAATATCATCCCTGTATCCTGTCATAATGTAAGCAGAGGAAAAGAGACATAGCATAGAAGAGGGAAGAGTGTGCTTAATATCATCCCTGTATCCTGTCATAATGTAAGCAGAGGAAAAGAGACATAGCATAGAAGAGGGAAGAGTGTGCTTAATATCATCCCTGTATCCTGTCATAATGTAAGCAGAGAAAAAGAGACATAGCATAGAAGAGGGAAGAGTGTGCTTAATATCATCCCTGTATCCTGTCATAATGTAAGCAGAGAATAAGAGACATAGCACAGAAGTGGGGAAGAGTGTGCTTAATATCATCCCTGTATCCTGTCATAATGTAAGCATAGAAAATGAGACATAGCATAGCAGAGGGAAGAGTGTGCTTAATATCATCCCTGTATCCTCTCATAATGTAAGCAGAGAAAATGAGACATAGCATAGAAGAGGGAAGAGTTTGCTTAATATCATCCCTGTATCCTGTCATAATATATGCAGGGAGAGGCATATATAGCATAAACTGGTATTGTGCGCTTAACATCATCCTTGTGTAATGTTATATTTTAATTAGATGAAATGTGTCCTAATCAAAGCAAAAAATCTTCTCAATCCTTACTATTGATACTTTTGTAATATGTATTCATACAACCTGATAATATTTAAGTAGCATTGTAATAAAAAAGATGAGATTGGTTTGATGAGATAGAATAGCATAACACCCTTATCATCAATCCGTAAATACTGAATGAATGTTTGAAAGCAATTTTTCAAACCGAACAATTGTATAGGGATAGAATGTATTATCGCAGTCATAAGATCAACAAGAGGCACATATGTGATACTAGATATCATTCTGATTATCCATGACTCATGAGTTTATAAATTGAAGTGTCCATAACAGCAAATAGAGAGAAGTTCTTTAGAATGTCTGAATGTAAATCAGTAGTTATTCCTTCTGCATTATAAACTGGGCTATTCTGGAATGATACTTCTATTTCCTTCCACATCCAGTAACTGAAATAAATTCAAGATAAAACTGGGAAGTTTTCTTTGAGCATATTTTCTCATTCAGTACACTTCTAGTATATGAATATGTCCTAGATAATACTGGGAATAATTTATCAGGAATAATAATGTGTTATTTGGTAGACATCTAATAATTGAATAATTCTAAGATGAGACTGGAAAGATTTCTTTGGAAATAATATTTTATCATTCATTACCCATCTTGGAACTGAATAAGTCCATAGTCACATTTCTAATGGGAGTCAATTTATTTGCAACTAGACTTAGTTAGAGATGATCTGGAAACTGAAAATATATTTTTAAAAATCATACTTGGTAGCACATGTCACTAGGGCTTGGGTGACCAACTTTTGCTTATTCTATTAGGAGGTTGTTAAGCTGCCCAGAGTCCATTCTGTCTCCTCTCATTCTAGACAGGAAATAAAGGAAGAGAAGAAAGAATAGAAGAAACAGAAAGAAAGCAATTCCCTTGATAGATTGATAATATATCTGATTTACATTTAAATATTGACAGCCATATCACAGAGTAGATTGTGGAACTGCATTTCGCACTGTAAAATAATACTCAAGTGCTGAAGGAATGACCACCTTCTAGTTATATGTTACTTGAAAGTGAAAGTACAGAAATTGAAGAGAACCAAAATAGCACCTAAATTATAATATAACTAGCAGCATGACCCGGCATTGTCCATGCTTGATTCAAAATTGTAATGACTCATACAGCAATTGCTATCACTTGACTTAAAATATTTTTTGCCCTTCCTTGCCTTTTTAAAGGAGTGCCCTTTGCCATGCTGATGTTGCTACATGCCTTACTTCTTGCCTATCTCACACTGCAAATTTTTTCTAAGCTCTATACTAAACATTAAATCTGTTACAAAGAAAGAACTAAACAAAATGAACACAAAACGATTAGCTTTAAAAAAGGACTCATAACTGGAAAAACCGAATGACAAAAGAATGTTAACAACAAATACTTTTTCACACCCAACCCACTTCTACGGAATCAGAATCAACGTTGAGTTTAAGCAAGTGAATGAGCCAATTGGAGTAAAGTGCCATGCAGATTTAAATTTTTCCCACTTGTGACGAATGCAGCTATCGATTTTTTTTGCATGCTAGCATGCTAATTAACATTCATGTCAGTCAGCTGTTGGCTCTCACACTGGCCAATAGAATCTTCTCGACTATTCGTGGCAGCCAGTTATAGGCTCTCACTCTAGCCAGTACAAAATGGCTGCAAACTACATGAAAACTGCCATAGAAGCATGAAAAAATCGATTATTTCCACTATCGATGGAAGTTGGGAAATGCAACGTCAGTTTTGGCCTTCCCACTAACTTGGAGCATGTGCATGTAAATTTTGGTGCAAATCCGTCAAAAATTGTGTCCGTGTATTCGTTACACACACACATCCTGCCTTTTATATATAGAGACAGACGCTTCAATGATCCAAATCTGAAAGACAAGTATACAGAAAGCATGAGAAGCAGATATAATGAACTAAACAATGGAAATTTGAAGTGGGATAAATTAAATGAAGCTTTAATAACATCAGTAAACAAGTTCATTCCAAAGAAAACTAGACAAGGAAAAAAAGAATGGATGACAAGTGAAATTCTTGACATGATGAAGAGGTGACAGCAAGCAATGCCAAGATATGGCACACTATATAGAACACTGCACAATGAAATAAGGAACAAATGCAAGCAGGCAAAAAGGAATGTCTCAATGAAAAGTGTGCAGAAATAGAAAGAATGAGTATCAAATATGATAGAAGAATAAGAGAACTTGGAGCAAAAGACATGCTCATCAATGAGTTGCATAAAATCAAAGAATGGGACACTGATATTAGAGAAAAAAGAATACTTCAGAGATGTAATGAATACATTAGAGAACTTTTCCACAATCAAAGATGACAACCTGAAAGAAATATAGATATGGAAGGAGCAGACATATTAAAGTCTGAAGTGAAATCAGCACCAGATAAATTGGACAAGAAAGAAGCAGCAGAACTAGATGGAATTCTAGTAGAGATGCTGGCAGTCTTAGATGATTTCAGCATTGACAATATTACAAACATTATAAATGAAATATATGACAATGTTGATATACTGGAAGACATAAGTAGATCAATTTTCATAGCACTGCCTAAGACACCAGAAGCAAATAAATGCAAACTCCATTGAACAATCAGCCTAATGAGTCACATAAAAAAAAAATTATCCAAATTCTGATGAATAGAGCATGCAGCAGAATTAGATCAAAAATAAGACAAGAACAGCGTGATTTCCTTTAAGATACTGGAACAAGGAATGCAATATTTATACTCAGAATGATATCATCAAGATCAATACAAATGTAAAGGGATGCTTACCGATGTTTTATAGATTATGCAAAAGCATTTGACAAAGTATATCACAAAGAACTGTTAGATAAGCTTGACTTATTTAGGTAGGATATTAAAACAATCCAGAACTTATACTGGAAGAAAACTGCTTGCATGAGGATAAAAAATGGATTCAGTAAATGCACAAAACTAGAAAGGGGCATAAGACAAGGATGTGTTTTCTCATAATTATTTTTAAAAAATATGATAACTTCACTACATAAGAGTTCTCATGTTTCAAAAATGGAAGCCAAAATCTTCAATATAATTATTAAAATTAAATTGAATTAAAGTATCAAGTTTCCAAATATTTTGCTTCAGGATGAAACAGCTTGATACTTTAATTCAATTTGGTTTTAATCATTATATTGAAGTTTTTGACTACTGTTTTTGAAACATGAGAACTCTTATGTAGTGAAGTTATCATATTTTTTAAAAATAATTATAATATATATATATATATATATATATATATGTAGAAAATCAGAGGTGGCAAAACTGCAGTTCATGGAAATATGTTGGCTGAGCTCCCTTTTTCTTTACAGTTAATATAAAAAGAAAATTAGAAAAATTTCAAGTTTCATAATTATTGGGTATGAATTGAGATCCCATTGGATTAAAGCTTTAGTTAATGTTTATGGTTAGTAAACAGTTTAAAAACTATATACATGAATAAATATTATTGCATACATGCATTTCTTAATATTTATATAAAAATTTTGTAACAAAATGTATATGTAAGTAAAATGTATGTGTAAATTTTGTTCATGTCTTGCAGCTCTCAAACATCTGCACTTTATCGTATGTGACTCTTACATTAAGCAAGTTTGGCCACCCTTGATCTACAGAAACAAAAGCCATATTGTTTCTTTGAAAGAAAGCCCTGCAATGTGAGATGCTTAACTAATTAAGGCCTCTAGTAGGTTACCAAAAAGAGATAGAAGGCTATTAAGCCAGTACTTGGAAAGGTCGGATAGTTCACCTGAAAGACTGGAACAAAAGATTAGGATTCCCAACACTGTGTAAATTTTGTTCATGACTTGCCGCTCTCAAACATCTGAACTTTATCTTATATGGCTCTGACATTAAGCAAGTTTGACCAACCCTGTTATAGTATAGTTTCATCTAAAACTGGATTTTGAATGGCAACAAAAGAATCTTATCTCAGCTACCCTATTTGTACCAATGTAAATTCTTTGTCATTCTCTGTCAGCTATATCTTCTCTGCTACAACTACAACTACTACTACTACTACTACTATGTCTGTTTCCTGGCAGTATAAAGAATTCTCCATTTACGTTCCTTATTTCAGTGCTTTCACTTACTATTCTTGCTATTTTTATTAATGTTTTATTATTAGTCTGAATGATCCTAGTATGTGTTTAGCTTGCTGCTGGATTTACTAATGTTTACACATCAGTGCTCTGGCAAATACAAACCTTGCATATAATTATACAAGTTATATTTAAAAACAAGCAGGAAATGTTTGGTCTGTTTTGATATTCTTTTTCACATAGTTACTTTCACAAATTTAGTCACATTTTTGTTTACTGCAAAATGAGTTCCAGAAATATATACCTGTTGTAAAATTACTTTATCTTTAAGGTACCTAATTTAAGTTTTACAATATGCATAAAGTAATTTTTAACATATGTTTTTGATGGATTTTATTAGAAACAAAGAAAAGAGTCTTGGCAGTGAATGCTAGACAGTCTCCTCACAGATGGACAAGAGACTTGAAACAACAGAAATGTAGTTCTACAGAAGGATGCTGAGAATACCATGGACCAAACATGTGAGCAACAACAAAGTTTTAGAGAAAATGGAAACGAAAAGACACTTATACCTATTAGAAAGAGAGAGCTGAAATTCCTTGGGTACATTATGAGAAAAGAAGGCTTGGAAA